AGCTAAAATTTTTATATTTGATTATCTAACTATTCTTTAAAATGAGGATATTGAGTTTTAAAAAATTTTAATTTATAAACTGAACTAGTGAGGTTAAATCACCTAACTTGGTTAAGTATTAGTCAACACAAAAAGATTGATCAATATTTAATTAATTTTAGATAAAATTTAAGAGCTGTATCTTAGGAGGGGGCAAATCTAAAGTGACCAAAATAATGAATGTCACATTTACACGTTTCAATGTATATTATAAAGTTTAATAAATAGATTATAATTTTTTTTTCAGTAAAAGCAAGTTCTACATTAGGCACAATGCCTCAAATATTGTTAAAATGCAAATTTATTATATATATTTTCCCACTCACACCTATTTTTATGATGTGATTTCCTATATATAAAGGCATGTAATCTCTCAGATCGGAAAATGAAAAAACCAAATGGTCAGAAAACTAAAATTATTATATAACAGTTTATTGTAGAATTCCCGATTCAAAAAAAACAAATAATGCATCTATGAGATATAATATATTTCAGTCTATCCAAATTAGAAGTAGGTAGAGCCCGGTCTAAACCAGTCTCTAAATTTTCAAAAAGATGTTTTGGATACGACCCGTGAAAATATTTTGCACAAATCTGGCCCTTATATATCTGACCGAGCCTTCGGGTTTCTGGAGGCTTTCATTTATTCTGAATAAATATTTCAAAAAATTATTAAGATAATTTAAAACTATTACCACTTGAATCAACGGCATGTTGGACTAAATAAAATATAACAGATTTTAGTATTAAATTTTTAAAAAAATAAGATTCTCGTTTTTACTTATAATAATATCCAAAATTAAAATAAGAGTTGATAAAAATTTATTTATTAATAATTTTAAAAATTTCTTTAATGAATTTTAATTTTAAAAATTCTATAAGGGTGTTGTATTTCTTATTCGATTTTAGTATTATATCTTAATAATAAATTTCACTATATAATTATATATTTCTTATGTTATTTTGTAGGGATTGGCCTGATACAAATTGTATTGCTTAGTTAGTTCATAGATTTTTTAATTAATAAAAAATTGCTAGTAAAAGCATTTCTTTTAAGATAGAACTTTTAGATATCAATTTGAATAAACACTATATTAAACAATTTTAAAAATTTTTATAAAAGTAAAATATCTATAAATATCTATAGAAGAATAATTTAAAATCATTATAAATAATGGGATGGGGGGGGGGGGGGGTATAGACAAATATCAAATAATATCATTTAACATGAATAACTTCAAAAATTGTCAAAAAAAGATGCGCCCTTTTAAAAGGTGTAATTAACTAGTATTAATTTTTGAGGCAAATATATTAGAGAATCAATAAAATAATTTGAGAATTAACTTTCAAAAACTTATTTTTTGGCATTGAAAAGTTAACGAATTGGACACTCTTAACTTTGTGCATGAACTTTTTCAAAATTCTTTTAAAAGCTATGTCCAAAACTAATTTTTAAAAAAATGTGAATATTTTAATGAAATCATATGTTAAATTTTTATAAAATTTTATAGAATTATGCAATGTACATGTTTTTATCTTTATATATTTAAAATGGTTTATTCCTTTATTTTCATTAAAGTTCCAAAAATTTATAAATTTAATTTTTGATGTTTTGGACAAAGCCTAAATAAAAATTGAATTCGAATAAATATCCCAATTGGCCTAACATCAGGGCCCTTTAACACTGAGAAAGTAAGAGTATAACTCAATTTTTTAATTGGAGGAGAGGGGGGGGGGGTTTATTTTGACTTTATCAGAATTTATAACACTATTCTCATCATTAGAGTAAAAAAAAATCTCTTAAATTTATAATTTTTTTAAAAAAATTATTTCTGATAAAATATTTATATCCATCCATTACGCTTCAGCTCTAGGAAATTCCAATTATCACAGCTGATTTATTTAAATTTCTATTCGTCTATTTTCAATCACATGACCTGTCATATTTCGTAGTTATTAATAAAAATAAATAAAAACCATTTTTTAATATATCATAACGATAACCCATATCTTCTAAACCCTTAATTAACACTAACCCATATCTCTCTAACCTATAATCCTACTCCTTAATTCAGATACCTGTTAATTTTAAATATATCTCCTCGAATTATAAAATTTCCTTCAGTTGAAGATTCCTTGAGTTGAGTTATATCCATCCTATTTTTAGAAATTTTTTTAAAATTGGTAGAATAAATTTAATATAAAATATATACTTCTCGTTATGCTATTTCATGCCTGTCAAATTGGTGACTGTTTATACGAGAATATAATGTTTGATAAAATGGATCATGCATCTAAAAATAAGGCATTAAAGACTAAAATCTGGATGAGATAGCATTTAAAATGAATCATTGGTAATATAAACTGCACTTTAATCTAAAAAATAGTTGTTCTTATATTTATTGCTTCATTGATTCAGATACATCCCGATATTTGGATGTGTTCTAATACCAGATTTATCACCTTAAGATAATTTCTCTCGTAATAGGATTAAATTTTTACTTTATAATGATTGTATTTAAAAGCCTCGATGATATAGACCATTATCTGTGATTGTCTTTATTGATGATGCTAGGCACTCAGATGTATTCCAGGGTAGGGTACCCCAGTTTCTACATGAGCGGGGGGGGGGGGGTGTACAGTTTGCTTCTAATAAGGAGGTAGTGGTAGATATTTAATGGTGGGGGGGAGGGGGGGGATAAGTATCAATTTATTAGGGGATTATCTAAATTTTTAAATAACATAGGTCAAAATATATTGCTATAAAAAATATTTTAAAATGTTTATTATAGACCCATTATAAAAATACAATGAATGATATTGCTAAACATGACCAAATTTATATATTGCATACTATCATTATTATTTTTCAAATAAAACTTATTTCTGAAATGGCAAATTTTAACGCATTGAATATATATAATAATGCAAGAATTAAGTTATGGTTCTCTTATGATCTTATCACATTTGTAAAAAATTTAAAAAGTCAGCAATTATATGCCTGTAATTAAGGGACGATGTACTATTTTTCGGCAAGTTATATTTTGTGGCTCAAAAACATATTTGGAAATTTGAATAGAATGATAAACAGATCCATTTTATGGTGTTATCAAGAAATTAATTTAGGAATATGAATATTACGTGGCAATGTCATCATGTTAAAAGCACGACTCTCGTGTTGTTTATTTTCAAAAAAGGATAGAAAAGAGTGAGGGTTCAATTCTCAGCAAGAGCAGTTTTTTTCTGAAGATAACATTTTTGGACGAGGTTATGGTGTTTAATCGTCAGATATGGAGTTATTATATTTAAAAATGGTTCAATAAAAGTTGGTTCAAACTACCAATATCATTATCAACTTTAATCTAAACGATTGCCAATCATTTCAACGTAAGTTGAACCAAAATTTTAATATCAACAAATTATCTATCAGATGTGACAACGACATCTCTTTACATTTTTAAAAACAATGTTAAAAAATTAATTGGTAGAAGGCAACGTTTACATGACAATACTGGATGCAAACCCCCTTCAAAAACCTATAATACCCCCCCCCCTTAAAAATATTTTACCCACCTTCGATGGCGATATTTCCATATTAGAGAATAACTTAAATTGTTAATGCTTTACTACCAACTATCAAAATATTATGAATGTAAAAGATTTTTTAGAACATTAATTTAATTAAAAACCCCCATATTTACAATGATGAATGCGTTATTATAGTATATTGTTTGGCATGAATATGAGTTTACTGATAGAATCTCTAATCCTATTTAAAAGGATAGCAGAAAGTGATCCAGAAAATGCTTTTTGGAAAAAAATGTCTGATTGTGTGCAATATGCAGATTTGGTCGTTGTTTAGACATATCATTGTATTATAATAGTTTATAAATAAAAATATTAATTTTTGCAGCAACCTCCAAATATTTAATCGATAACCCCCCAATAAATTTATCCTACCCCTACTACCCCCGCCCCCCAAAGGCCTACCTCCTACTCCCATCAGAAAAAAATAGGTTGCAAACTATTTATATCCCCACCGCTCATGTGGAAGCTGGTAGCAGGAATCTAACATCTGTGAACGTAAATAAATTAATCAAACACTTTTCCACGTCTATTAATAATTATTTTTTAATATATAATCGTTTATAAACAAGAAAAGTTTTAAGCCACAATGCTAAAATGGTAGAAAAAAATTTATACTTCAATCCAAAATGCGCTTGTCACTATTTCATTATAAGAGATAAATTTTAGATAAAATATTTTAATTAAAATTCATGTTTAGAAAAATGAATCCTATGATGATATCTTTGGCTTTGAATTAAGATATTTTCCTTTTGATACAAATGAAACATATTTTTGAATGCAATGTCGCCCAACGATTAATTAATTCTGAATCAGTAACAAAATAATTTTATTATAAAATGCTACTTTTAAAAAAGTCTCTAATTTATAATTCCAATAAATAACTATAGTCCTGTCTAATTAATATGAAAAAGGAGGCAAAATGAATTGAAATATTTTTAAAAACTTATTTATTTTTAGAAATTCTCTTCGATATATATATTATTAGAAAAAAAGAAAATTAGCCTAAGAACCAGATGTGATATTTTGCGAGAAATAACTAAAAGTATATGAATATGAAAAGAGTGCTGGGCTTCGACAATATATCGATAAAAAAATTCCTAATAAAAAAATTTTTAAATTCCTTAACGAAGGGGACATATCTTATGAATTTGATCATGGTAAATCGAGTGAATTTAAGAGTAATTGTCGAATTTAATGTTCATAAAGAATAATGGGCATTCGATATCGAAGTGGATTCAGATCCATATATCAAAATATGGAATGATTTCAATTTGCGCTTGGTAAAATAAATATATTTTTATAAAGTTTATAAGATTTTATTCATATAAACCCAAACTTTATGTAAATATGACAAACAAAAAATATATATAATATTTTATAAACACGAAAAATTTTAAGCCTCATAAAGCTAAAATGCGGGTGGAAAAAATATTTATAATTCAATCCAAAATACGTCTGTCAATATGTCATTATAATAGAGATAAATTTCAAATAAAATTTTTTAATTAAATTCATATTTATAAAAATAATTCCTATGATATCCTTGGGTTTGCTTTAAGAAAGATGATATTTTTCTTTTGATACAAATGAAACATGCTTTTTGACTGAAATGTCGGTCTCCAATTAATTGATTCTGGATGAGTTTATTAGAAAAAAAAAATCGATTAAGCATTATAATAACTATTTTTAAGATGCTTCTTTTAAAAAAATTCTAATTTATAATTCCATGACTATTTTAAAAAATTAATATATTTAGCGCAATAAGTATAGTTTCCGCTTATAACAATATATTTTTAAATTTATAAAAACCTATTTGTGGTTGTTTGTTCTCGGAGTTTTACTCGAAGGTCGTTCCCTTTCATGATTGTGTCCGTTCGTTTGAGGCTTTTGATCCACGTTGATTTCTAATTCACATAAATTAATTTAAAAATATACTATGGTGTAGCTAAACTCTTTTGCGTGTTTAGAAAAATTTATCAACTCATTTATGTAAAAAAAACCATTGCTGAAATTTTGAATTAACACTCGCACAACAGGATTATAAATTTCCAAGATCACTTTTTTAAAAATATTACTCAATTCGAACCATTAATAATCATTATCCTTCTAATTTATTTTTGTCTATTAATAAATTAAATTGAATACTAATTTTTTCTTCTTTCATATTATTTGAGAAGTTAGATCATAGGAAGATTGCTGATAACTTAAAAAATAAAAATCGTTCTAAAACTCTAAAAAAATAAATATATGGATAAAAGCATCTTAATTAGTTGGAAAAAAATCATCGGAAGAGGCGCGGAAAGGTTCCTCGACTTATTTCTCAGTTTAACGCGAACCTCGCGGAAGTTGTAGCAATTAAGGTAATATAAAAAACCAACCTTAATTTGATTGCAAAAAAAATCCAAGATGTGGTACTCTATTCAACTAAAGAAAGAACAAATTTTTTTTAAAAAAATTGTACATTTCAAATATCAAAACTGTCATTTTTTAAAAAAAATGGAATCATTATTTTTTCTACAGTTTTGATTTAAAACAAATAGTAACCAATACCAATATTAAAAATAACATAATTATTTAGGTTTATCGTGGATAATTATATCGTGGTATTTTTTTTACTTTCATTGCAAAAACTGATTACATCTGTTATTTCTTCCAAATACTACTGTGATATCAATATTTCTGTTATTTATAATTATAGTTTATTTTTATTATGGAAGTAAATTTTTTACATGATATCTATCAATTTTATCTATTTATTTAAGATATTATAATAAATGAAGACCAAATAGAGTTAATAAATATAGATGCCGTTGGTACTAATAATAATAGCGATAATGAACAAGAAGAATTATCAATAAAGACGAAATTCAGGAAAAATCTGGGAATTTTATACTACTTGTGATAATAAAAAAAAGGCAATTTGTAATAAATGTAAAAAAAAATATCACTTCCCAATTTTGGAACCTCAGGATTATGGACACATCTTAAATCCATCCACCCAACATTATATAAGAAATGTGAGCAAATAAATATTGGCAGTAAAAAAATTAAGACAATAAAATCATTTTTACTTAATATTATAAATAATAAAGCTAATTTAAATAATTTAATTATAAACTTTTTCATTCAAAATAATTTAGCCTTTTCAATAGTTGAAGATATCACTTTTAAAAATTTAATAGCATATTGTAACCCTTCACTAACATTAGTTTCTAGAAAAACACTAAAAATAGAAATTATGAAGCATTATCATAGTTCTTTTATCAATTTAAAATCTGTACTTTCTAACATTACATCTAAATTTTCCTTAACAATGGACATTTGGTCCTCTCCAAATAAAATACCCTTTATGGGCATAACAATTCATTATTTGATAATGATTTTAAATTAAATAATCATTTATTAGATTTTATTCCTTTTAAATCAGCACATAATCCTATTAATATTTTTAATTCTGTATTAAAAGTAAAATTTGAAATTAATTTTTTTTGCATTACATTAGAAAATGCAAGTAATAATTTAGCATTTCTAAAAATTTTAAAACAAAAAGATAATTTTGATAATGTGTGCAAATGCTTTTGCCATATTATACATTTGGCTGTCATGGCTGCATTGGAACCCTTAAATAGAACTTTAAAAAAAATAAGAAATTTTTTAAAAATTTTTAAACATTCTATATCTAAATTTAATAAACTCGAAAAAATATATCTTGAAAAAAATCCACACTTAAAATTTCCTCACCCAATTTTGGATATACCAACACGTTGGAATTCAACATACCAAATGCTTGAAAGAGCAATATTGCTCAAACCCTATTTGACAACATATATCAATCATTTACAAAATACCAATCAAGAAAATTATATTAGTGCCTTAGCCTGGAATAATATAGAAATATACCGAGAATTTCTGGAACCATTTAATTTTGCTATAGAGATGGCCTCATGTGCTAATACTCCAACAATTTCAACAATTATTCCTTTATATTCCAGTATTTTTGAGCATGTGGAGAGTTATAATAATAATCCTAATGCTATTTTAAAGACAGCTTCTTTAGCTGCCTTAACAAAACTTAATAAATACTATAATTTTAATAAACATCTCTTTATTATTTCAACAATGACTGACCCAAGATTTAAACCATCAAGTCATTTATTAAAGCATAATAATATGGAAACTCTTATTGGATATCTTACTAATGAATACAATATTTATAAAATAAATAATAACAATTCAGCGGAACTTACAAATGAAGCACAAAATAACAAAAAATTGTCCTTTTATGACAAAATTTATCAGGTGAAACCTCTTAATAATAACAACTTAGAAATAAGTAAATACGTAGATGAAGCCACAATTTCCAATGATACAAATCCATTAGATTGGTGGAAATTAAATAAAAATAGATATCCAGTATTATCAAAAATTGCTAGAGATTATCTAGCAATTCCGGCCACCTCATCTAGCTCTGAAAGAACTTTTTCAGAAGGACGGTATGTTATAACAGACCAACGTTGTTCACTAGATGAGCATACTATACAAGCTTGCCTGTGCCTAAAAAGTTGGATGCGCATGCAAGATTCTTCTTAAATACATAAAATTATTTCCCCTTATATTAAAATTATATCATTCTTTTGCATTATATTTTGTATAAATAGACAGTTATGTTACATTTTTAGTTTACTTATTTTGCTATGTTCTTTGTGATAAATAAAATGGTTCATAATCAATACGTTTATTATTGTTGATACAAAAAATACATGATTAAATCAAAATTTTTTATATTCTCATCACCTAATAAATTCCTAGTTTAAAAAAAGAATTTGAATTCAGTAAAATTTTGAGAGTTGGTTCTTAGCCCTGATTTTATGGTATCATGATTTTTTTTCCCATGTTTATTTAAAATTAGAAATTAAGGGTTTTATAATCACTATTTCTATTCTTTTAATTAGTAATTTGAATTTAAACCAATACCAATATAAACCAATAGTTACCAATATAAACCAATACCAATAGCAATACCAATACAAGAAATAGAAAATATTGTTTAAACCAATACCAATATTTTAGACCCAATACCAATACAATATTTTGTTATAATTGGGTTTTTACTATTGGTTCCCAGCCCTACTTATAACCTTTAATATTAATCATATATATTAATTATCTCGAGGAATGTAAATAAATTAATGTTGAAATAAATACCGATCTGTCCATTTATATGAAGATTTTGACAATCCTTGCAACCGCTTTTTTTATGCTTTCTTCTGGAAGAGGAAACTCTGGATTTATTAGAAGTTTTAGATTGATTGGATCTAAATAATTTTAACAAAAAAATAATTATAAATAGCTTATCTTAATTTTTTTGTTAAACGGATCGATTTTTTAAAAAAGGCTAACCCAATATTATAACCAAAAAAGACACAAGGCGCAGATTTCGTTAATAGGTATCCAAACATATCTGTCATCCATGAGCAAAATCTTCAAGCTTGCATAATATTCTTAACTAAATATGGGTAGTCGTTTTTAAAAATAGATCCATTTAACAACACTACAATACAACAATATGTCGACAAAGTAATCATTCTAGGTTCAAGTATGAGTTATTTATCATATGTAGAAAGTTTTATAATTGATTGAAATCGACTAATTACTATTAATAAAATGAGTACTCTCGGTCTAATTTTTAAGTTTTAGTTGGTTTGAAGAGATTTCGTAAGTTGTAAAAATTGGATTAATTATGAATAACAAAAAAATATATAAATATAACTTATTCCTAGATGAAGAATTATTGTAAGAGGCCGTAGAGTCCGAAGACGATGAGTTAGAGGATGAAGATCGATGACCATTGGCCGACTTCGTTGTAGTGGTCACATGATTAGATGACGTCACTGGTTTATGACTAGTGCCATTTAACTGCTCGCGCCTGCGTTTGCGTCGTAAAGAGTCTGTATCAATCCCGTGATCGTGGTCGCCATTTTGAGTAGGTCGAAATTTGCGCCAGCGCTCGGAATCTTCTACGTTTTGGCATTGAAATATTATTTATTTTATTAGTTGTTTATAACAAGAAAATTGATTAAAACTTTTTGATCCTCGAGAGACCGAAAAAATTTACCGCTTATGATAGACAAATTGGAAAAAATAGGAAATTTAAAAAAATTCCCGTGAAATTATATCATTTTTCAATATATTTTTTAAATTCAAAGTCCATCTTCCAACTCACATATTTCTTTCTAGAAGATTTGGCATCGAAAACGGAAAATAGAATAAAAAATTAACACAATCTTATTCAAATAGATGGCATAAGCTCTGTAATTTAAACACAAAATCCTAAACAAGTGCTAATTGGTAAAAATTTTCTAAGGATCATAAATAAAAACCGGAAATAAATCCAGTATTTAGAGTGTTTCCATCAGATCGAGTCGATGATGCAGAAGAACTCCTGGAAGTTCGGTCCTCACTACTACTTGAGCTAGATGACGAGGAAGAAGATGAGGATATGCTCGATTCGGATATGATTTTGAGGAGAGAGAGACCCTTATCAGGACGTCGATCGATTTCGTCGGCTACTTTGGCTATCTCAGGTTTATACGCCTTGCAATATTTTTAAAACAGTTATATATTCAAAAATCAAATATTCGAATTATTTGAACAATATTTGATTCGTTTTCTCAAATACGAATATCATTAATCAAATTCGGCTTCAAATATTAGATGATGTCTAAGTTTGCACCCTACACACATATATGCATATATAAAAGTCAAGTAAGAGAACGTTATCAAAGGATCAAAATGGTATATGCATCTGACACTTAAGTATTTTCGTTAAAAGAATTACTTTGAGAGCCTGGTACCATTTTCGGGCGAGTTTAGGTCTTCCCCTGATGGTTTTAACCCAAACTATGGGAAAATTAGCGGAAGATGCGAAATTTTGAGTTATGGCAACCGTGAAATCCAGGTTCATTACCACATGCCACCATCCCGATGGGACAAACATAGTCTCACCCGGTCTCTGTATAACTTCAATCTTTTTTTTGTAAAAAAGGTATAATTGAGGTGATTTATTATAATAAATTAATTGAAAAAGGGTAGAGAATAAATATTCAATAAAGTGAATATGGCAAATGAAGCCATAGTGCGCACAAATTGAGAGTTTCAAACCTGGCGTTGCAAACGCAAATAATGCTTTTCAAATGGTATCGTGGACATTATTCCGCTTATCACTTGGGTTATAATCTATTTTAAATTGCTTTTTTTTAAATACTTTTTTTTATTCATTCATTTTGCAATATAATATAAAATGTAAAAGAAAATAACTTACTATTATAATTAGCAAAAACTAATTTTTTTATAACTTAGTTAAAATTTTGACTTAACGATACTAATATTATTTTTTAAAAAGGCAACCTCAATTTAAACAAAAGGTGCGGTTACGTTTTTTATTTAAGTAAGACAAAACGCAAATGCTCAATTTGTGCGTACTATTACCAACTTGTATACTATATTTTGATCATTTTTTTGTCTCTCCTGCAAGATGCAAAAGCAAAGATGAGCAGATCACTCATTATCAGGCTTTTTATTTATTTATTTTTTACCAATGCCAAATTATTCGATCCTATAAATGTTTAATTTAACAATTTTTCGATGGGTACTAGAAAAAAAAGAAGAAATACACTTTATTTAAAAATATAATCAATAAATATTTATATTTATATAATTTATTGTTAAAAAAGAATTGTTATAGTGTGTGTCCTGGTTAAAATTATTTCCAAACAGACAGCTGAATAGAATCGACTAAGCAACCTAAAAAATATGAGTGAAGAAGAAAAAAAACAATGCCAGCAAACTTTTAAAACTGACCAAAATAAGGTGTCCTAGTTCAACAGCTGTTTTAGACTAGGCTTAACAGCAATAAGTATCCAAAATAAATGGCCCCAGGACAAATTAATTTTTTAAGACAATTTTTTTATTATTTATTAAAATAATTAAAACGTTTTTTTCTTATTTTTTTAGACTCATTTAATTTACTTTTAAAAAAATTGTGTTCTTTTTAAATTAACTATTTTTATTGTATCCCAAAATAATTAAAACGTTTTTTTCTTATTTTTTAGACTCATTTAATTTACTTTTAAAAAAATTGTGTTCTTTTTAAATTAACTATTTTTATTGTATCCCAAGAAATGAAAATTATACTATATATTTCTCGTTTGACTGGCAATACAAACAAAATAGGAGACTAATCACAATCAGAAAAAAAGCAAGAAAAATCCCAAATTATTAGTGCTGAAAACATTTCTGAAAAAATCGAACGCGCTACAAAAAAAAGGAAACCAAATTTACGTAACTTTATGAATATTTTTTTTTAATTTCATTTAATGTTTAATAATTTAAAAATAAGTTCTTAATATTTTTTTTAACATAATATATGCCATGTTAAAAATAATAGTTTTATTTTGATATATATAAATAGAATATAATATAATGAATTAAACAAATATATATTTTATTTAAGAATACTTTAAATTGTGTTCAACAAAAAATTAAACCTTTGGTAAAAATTTAAAAATAATAGTGATTGGATTATAATTTCAAATAATCACACAAAAAATATATCCTATAAGAGATAAGAACTATTTTATATTTATGTATATGTCGTATGGGGTTTCGGAATCCGTGGGAATTCGGAATCTTTCAATTTTAAATCATTTACTAAGGGCGATTTTGGGATTTTAAAATCGGATTTTACAGGAATTGTATATGTGTAGAGTATTTACCCTATAAATTTCAGCCAATTTCAGCCATAGACATTTTAGTATTATTTAATTTATATGAATCCATATAAAAATTAATATAAATTAGAGGTAGTTCTAAAGTTCATGGCAAAATTGTTTGAAATTTACAGTGTGGGTACTCAACACATGCTAGAATACATTCCAGGTTAAATCGGATTTTAAATTTTTTTAACACCCTCGGTAAAAATAAAATCAAGAAATTCCGAATCCCCGTGGATTCCGAATCCCCATATGACATATATAATATTAAAACTTAATGGTTTTTACTTTATGTATTTATTATATAAATTAAATTAATTTAATAAGCATATGAAATACAAACGTTTAAAATAAATTATAAACGAGCTACTTATATAAAATAAATATTACAATCGTCTATTAAAATTATAATTTGAAGATTTTGAAGCATAATACTTTTTGCACACATTTTACATTTAGTAAGGATTGAATTAGTTCCATTATTATTACTGTAAAATATATTTGAGCCATGGTAATGTAGAATCAGATGATGAAATAACAACAACCATGATTATGCTAATCAATAAAATATATAAATAATGTACTAATTAATAAACTATACTATAGAACAGAAATAGTGGCGGGTTAAAAAAATTCAAATGTGATAAACGAAACAGCTGCTTAAAAAAGAACCATTTTTCTTAAAAAATTGGATAAGTATTAAATTCATTTTTTTTATTTTCAAACGACTAAAAAAAAATTTTTTTAAATTGAACAAATAAAACACGAATGCGTTCGTCAAAAAAGGGAAGCGTTCACGTTCAAAGTTGTCCAAAATAAAAGAAACGCCGATTAAAAAGTAAGTTTTTTATTTTTGCGAAACGAGAATCACTGTCCCCTTTTCAAAAATATTTTCAAAGTTCCGTTAGGGGATAGTATCGTCCCTGCGACAATTGGAGAGGCATGACATGTTACATTAATTAGTAGGTACCTTAAAAATGGTGATCAATGTGTGAAGATACCATATTTCTTTTATCTCTAAAAGGCAAAGGAAATACTTAAAAATGGTATAATATAAAAATATCAGCTGGAATCAAATCATTCGTATAGTTTTGAAGAAGATAGTCATCTCACCTTTGTGTCATATGTTAAAGGACATCTTCGGGTATCTATTGGGGTATAATATTTTACTATAATAACTTCGAACATGCTTACATCGATAAGTTTTTGTCCAGGTCGAAGACTTATAACACATAACTATGTATTATATTTATAAAAAGAGTCCAAAAGATTTCCAAGAAAATTTTTGGGAGATTTTTAAAAAAATTCATCTCATCTTAATCTATATTCCATCATTCAGCTAACTGCTAATTAATTAAATAGCGTGTGAGGTGTAGAAACAATATTATCTAATAATAATGACAAGAGTAGAGAGGAACAAATGAGCAAATGAGTAACAATCAGTGAAACTATTCAAAATTAAAAAAAATATGCTGGCAATAATTTCCGGAGTTAAAAGATATTGGAAATTTTTGCAGAAGAAGATAATTCAATTTAACATTCGATTATATACGCCTCAAATAGTAGAAATCGGACTGTGAAAAAAATAAATATATGTAATACAAAAACAATTTACCGCTTTAAACTGACTAGGCCAATCCGGCAGGATAGTTCGGGGATATATAACGTCAAACCAAGTGATTGCTTCTCCCTTGTTTTTCTTATTCTCGGTCGATTTAACCTTGACAAGAGCCTTAGGAGTCTCGGGAGGAAAAAGACACCATCTTTATATATATTTCTTTTTATTATTAACTTATCTAGCACAGACCTGCCCAAAATAAGCGAATGTGAATTATATGAAGACCCATCCTCCATAAAATTATGCCGATTTTTTTTTCCAAGGATATCAACAAACCCAGTAACAGATATATAGTTATATATGGGAAGGGGGGGGGGGGTAACTACAACCGACCCATATTTATGTGTTTAGTAATGAGTATGATAATGAAAAAAGTAGAATACAAGAGGTCCGCTTCTAAATACACATATAACAATTTTATTTTATTTGGGATACGTATGATTTTTACATCAATTCAGTATATTTATTCCTAATATCAAACTATCCTAATTTATAATTAATATAAGATTTACATTATACTACATTAACGACCAATATTCTGGCTCTAAAGACTAATATACATTAAATGTTGAGCTTTAGTCCTAAAATACTTAAAGACATAACTTAATACTATAAGAAATATTTTACCTTCATTATAGCAAGCGTTCGATGGTAATATGTTCGGGTCATAATCCTCTTAAATTAACATTTCATGCCAAAACAGATATTCTCATAAGATAAGAAAGGTTTCATGGAGGTCTCCTCGGGGAAGACTATCAAGCACTTGATAGATTCTGTTATTTTGGGCTTGTCTAAGGGCATGATTCACTAACTCTATTTTAATGTATTTTATTAACTTGCAAATGTGAAGGTTATTATATCTGGCCCATAGAATTTTGTTGGGCATATGGAAAAAGTATTTGCTAATAAACGATTGCGTCTTCTTTCTATAGGACACAGCAACAGTCAATGTCTTTATTCCATAGTATATCGAAGAGAAGACTAATATTTTAAATAACCGATTCTTCAAAGAGATAGATAGTTGGTTCGAAGACCATATCCTCTTAAATGACCAATAATTAGACCTTGTTTAATTTAACTACCATATCCTGTTTAGTTTGTACTTTTCTGTCTAGAATAACTACCAGATATTTTATTCATGTAACCTCTTCATGCGCTCGAAACCATTATGGCACTAAAAATTCATATTGAGAGGGCCATAATAAGAAAGAGTCAGCTATTTATTGCGGCATTAGACTTTAGAAGAGCATTTGACTCTATTATCCATACGAGTTTGTTGTAAGCATTGGGTAAGATAGAGACAGCAATTTATTTATTAAAGCTTCTAATTATATAACAAAATTATTCAGTTATTCAGTGCCAATTATTCATGCTAGTCGAAACTCCAAATTCAGGCAAAAATTGGGCTGAAACAGGGCAGCGTGTCCCCGTTACTATTCAACTTTATCACTAATTATATTATAAAAAATGTAAAAGGCGGTGGAAGATGTAAATATTGCCTTTGCGGATGACTTCTATGAACAAACCTCAATACCTAGTCAACAAAATATTCATCGAAGCATGGTTTTTTGGCTTAAATCTGAACGCAGATAAAACGAAGGTGATGGCCTCTGTCTGTACGTTAACATAAGATAACTTAAGAATAGGCGAGGAGGATATTGAAGAAGTTATATGCATAAAATATCTGGATCATTCCACGTCAAATCGACCAAAAAAACGAGATTACCAGACGATCATCTCTAAAATGAACGAAACTTGATCATAGTTATGTTGTATATTTTAGTAAAATCAAAATTATAGAGCCCTAATTCAACCAGATACAAAGATACACGCCTTTAAAGTGGAAAATCGCCCAATGCGTGATTTCATTAAATCTTGTTATTTTAAAAAATATTTATACCATTTTATAGCTCTTAAAATTTTACATTGGAAAATATCGATAAAAAATTTAAAAAATTCCAGTGTTTTCTTATTTTCGGGAAAAATAAAAAATTAACATTGTTAGGAAGGGATTTTTTTGGGTGTTGATATTCTCTAAAAAATTTTGTTACCTTTATATTAAACTATTTAATAAAAAATCTCGATAGATATATTGTATTTTTTTTAATTTTTTCAAATTTATTTAAATAAAAAAAGACAATATAGATTGACGTTATATTAAAAACTTATTATAATAAAAATATAAACTGCATTGGTATTAAAATAAAAATCTATTGAGTATTATCAATATGATGTCCTGCATTATGTAGGCAAACAGCCCATACAGATATAATTATTAGGACCACTATATTGCAAAATAACATATAAAATTTTATATATAACCTGAGGCGATAATTTATTAGTACGTCTTATCCTTGTTAACCATCATTATTACACTGTTGGCAGATTTTATGCAAAGAATTGTTATAATAACATATTTATATTTATCAATTTACAAGTTACATAATTTTATTTACAAATGAATTTTAAAAAATATGAAAATGTTTTCCATTAAATCTGTACAACGCTGTATTTGATTAGTGGGCGCCATCTATTTATCTATCGTGGGGTAAAATAAAGATGGTGATGGTCCATGGGAATACAAAAAAGAAATATATATATCAGTCATTTCATTCTTTTTTAATACTGTTGCTAACCAAACCACCAGAAGTTGTCATAAACTTATGCTTAAAAGTCCAGATAATGGTCCTAAATAAAAGACTGATCAGATATATTTATGACAATTTTTAGTGGCAAACCATAGTACTAAAAAAATGAAATTACAGAGAGATATATATTTCCTTTTTACAACCCCATGGACCAACATCCTTCTTTTACCCCACAAGTGACATCAAATAATAACGATAGTAGATCCCAATAGCGACAGGATATACCTACAAATTATGAACCCAGGAAACTCTATTAATAAGCACAAAATGGAATACGATAAAGATAATCGAGATATTTTTTTAATAATAGTTTGTATATAAAATTTTAAAATATGTTTATTTTGCAATGTAGCGTTCTAATAATAATCATCATATCTGAATGGGATGCTTGCCTACATATAGCCCCAGGATATCATATTGGTTATACTCAATGATATTTTATATTTTAATATCAATAAAATTCATATTTTTATTAAATATAATAATTTTGAATATAACTCCCTCTATATTATCTTTTTTTATTCACAAAAATTAAAAAACAAAAATGGCAATCGAAATTTTTTATTAAATAGTTTAATATAAAGGTAATACACATTCTTAGAGAATATCAATACCCAAAAAATCCCTTCCTAACAATGTAAATCTTTTATTTTATAAGAAATAACAAAACACTTGAAATTTTTTTACTTTTTTTGATATTTTCCAATGTAAAATTTTAAGGGCTATAAAATGAATGATATATAATTTGTAACTCTATCTTAAGTATTTTCCAAAAAACAAGATTTAATAAAATAACGCATTGCACGATTAAACCTTTCTTGTCCTATAAGAATAGCTGGTTTGCATTATTTTTAAATCATTAGCAGATATGGGACTCTCTTGGCAATTTATCAAATGGGCTGAGGCAAACAGAAGTTTATTTAAGAGGATTATGAACCTAATATATGACCATTAAACGAACACTTGCTGATGGTAAAGGTAAAGTATTTCTTATAGTAATAGTAATTATGTCTTTAAGTATTATTGAATTACTATATTCGCTCTAATGATTGTAAGCACACCGTAATATTGGTCTTTAGAGTTAGATAGTATAGCCTAATTCTTATATTAAGTAGAAATTAGGATAGCTTAATATTAGAGAATAAATATTCTGAATTGATATAAAATCATATGTATCCAAAATAAAATGAAATAATTGTTATAAGTGTATTTGAAAGGAGAACCACTTGTATTCTACTTCTTTTTTATTATTATACTCATTACTTGACACATTAGAGGTGTAGTTCCACCCCTCTATAGCTTTATATCTATGCTACAAGGTTTGTTGGTATCCTTGAAAAAAAATAATTAGCATAATTATAATGGGCCTTCATATAATTCCATGTTCGTTCATTTTGGGCAGGTCTGTGATCAATGTGTTAGATAAGGTAGGATAAAATAAGATAAGAATTTAGGATATATTACAGGATATATTACACAAATATTTTTAAAATTATTTTCTAAACTCATAAGAGTCCACGTTGCTTAATTCAGAATAAATACACAAATATATACATCAATACTCATAAAAATTAATTTTAAAAAGAAGAGATAATCAAAAAAAATTATATTTCGGTTAAATAGAAGCCAACTTAGCCCCATTATGATTTTAGATATAAAGCGTGGCATTCTAAATATAAACCTGGAAAAAATAGAGATAATTATGGTATTTAATGAATAAGCCTAATATTCCTTGTAAATCCCTATGGAAATTTCATATGACTATATGGAACATATATCTGGCGCGAGAAAATGCGTACCTTTTGTGACCTTTGATGAGAGCATTCCAAGCCGATGTACCTAGGGGATCGATGTGTATGCCAGTTCCGGAGCGCGCTGGTCCTATAACAACCCACCTGTAAGGTGGTCGGCGTCTATCGCTAGTATATTTAAAAAGATCTTCCCGAAAATATGGAGGAACTTCGTAATCTTGGGTAAGGGACACTTTTTTACCTTGCTTTTATAATTGCCAATATTTATGGCAAAAAAAAAATTCAATTTAAAAAATGGTGTTTATAAAAAAAAAGGAGTAAAGTTCATGAAATTTTATGAATCTTGTAACAAATATAATTTAATCCCACCAAAAAAAATCGGATTGTTTTTAAAACATATTATGTTAAAACCTCTCCAAAACTTCCGTCGAAAATATACATCGGACTATCGTCTAAGTGGCACAAATGGTTGCAATACGGGATGTAATACTTCATTTTTATTTTAACATTATAGCCTTCGTCATCTTCTCCGCATTTAAATTTTTGATTCCGATATTTTTTAATCAACCGCTACGTATATATTTTTTTTTAAATCGAAAATTAATGAATATTTAGTTTCAATGCTAATAAATAAAAAAGTCAAATTATCCCATCCTCACCCGTAAAAAAAAAATGTTAATTTCAAGAAAGGCAAAAAAAATTAATAGTTTTGTGTTGTGTGGCCTAAATTATAAAAATAAAACAAGTACAAATGGGCAGGATTGAGCAAATATCCGCTCTGATGATGCGCACACTAATTGTGCTATAAATGAGGCACTTTTAAGTCCTTAATGCGACTAATAAAAAGTCGCATTAACCTGTGTCATGACTATTTACAAGAAAAATATTATTTTGTGTTTTATGCTTAAAAATTAAAATTCATAGCTCATACGTTTTTCAATTTTATCCCGGGTCATTGGTAAATAGTAGGGGTGTGCCGATGCCACTTTTTGAAGGTCGATAATCGATCCGATGTTAAGAATCTGATTTTGTTCATTATACACACTTAATAGTTTATTTTATTTTTTTATAATGTATCCACACCTACTTTTAGCTTATATATTATAGTGATGCAAAATCGCTTAATTTGAACTGATTTTTAAAAACGGCTAACTCAGTATTTTATACTATGCAAGGCTGAAGATTTTGCTAATAGATGGTACAATACAAGGGTTTGTAAATCTATTAACGAAATCTCGAGACTTTGGTCAATTTTTTCTGGATTGAGTTCGCCGTTTAACAACATTCGCATTGATATTTCCTAAAAAAAAAATTTAGATAAACTAATTATTTTCAAAAATGTACCATTTTTCTGCTCTTCAAAAATGAAATAAAATTTTTATTTTTTTTTAGTTATAACATATATTACCAATATACAAAATTTAAAAAATTTCTGATGAGGTCGGGTTGAAAATCGACTTTTTTGGTTGAATTGATAATAACATCTTCTGGCATTATATTATAACCATAACATAAGTCATTTTGCCTAAATATATTACCCGAGCCTGAAGATTTTTCTCGTGGATGGTAAAAAGGTTTGAGCATCAATCTCGAGGCCTAAATAATGTTATTTTGGTTAAATCCAAATTTAAAATTGACTAAATCGAGCCGTTTCAACACTAGTATGCCTTTGTATTTTTCTTTACCATGATAATTATTTATATCTTCTCGTTTGACAGGCACGTGCAATACAAAAAAAAATGCATTCATTTTCTTTAAAAAATTTATCTCGTAAAATATCATCCAATTTTCGAACTCATCTCAGTGATTGACAATATTCTATTATTAAATTACATTGTCTATTTATTAAATCATTTTAAAATGGGAAAAAAAAGAAAAATAATTAAAGGCAATGTAATTTTTATTTTTAAAAAAATTCAAACAATGTGCGGGCGTGGTTAAAAAATATTTTAAAACGATGGGTAAACGAGTTTGTATGTTAAATACCCCCGACTTTTGCAGACCCCTAAATCATATACCGATTATAATATTTTTCGAATAATTAAATATTTTTGTTTTATTTTTGCCCCTCATCCATAGTTAGCGCGAATTCGCGGTTAAATATATTTAATGCATAATGATAGTTTTTAGTTTCTACCGGGCCCGCCCTCTACAATAATCTGATATATTCAATTAGATAAACTTTTATTATATTTAATCATATGACGTAACTGCAGTGGCCGCTTTTAAGCAGTGATATATTATACATTCGCTATGGCCATAAAAATATAATGTCTAAATAAATGGTCATTAGTAGTTTTAAGTTAGGACTTAATAACCTTCGCAGTTGTTTTAGAAGCCATCTAATTTTAATACTCTGCTATTAAATATAATAATTGAAAATTACTGTTACACAACATTGAATCATCTATTTAACCAAGTTTTTATAATATATTTATATTAATAACGAAATAAAATGCATATGTGAAAAATGTAATTAATTTTGAAGGTTATGAATTATTATGAAGCATAATCAAAATTTGTAAAATTCGATATATATTTTTCGAGTATTATTTTAAAATAAACTTAGCTCTCATTCATCGTGTACATTGAAAATAAAAATTGATCTAATGCAATAATCGTGAAAATGGCATTCGGTTAATTGTTTTAATATTTATTTACAATTAGATAAGTATATTTAAATGTGATTTTGGATATATTATGTTGCCTTATATTTTGGATGGCTCTCCTTTTCCCGTTATCTATTCATCAGTAGCGAGCATGCCCGGCCCGGGTAGTATGATTTTCAAAATTCGGTCCGGATCTAAAAATTTAGAATTCATAACTGATCCGGGATTTTATATTTTTAAAAATCCGGCCAGGACTTTATTAATCAGCTGGAAAATCGTATAATAAAGTGTTTTAAATATTCATTTGTTAAAATAATTTGCTAAATATAAGCCATATTTATTCAAAATAACAAAATTTTAAAAAAAGGACCAACCCGAGCTTTAAATTTCGACTTTCAAAGGTCTCTGATATTTATATAATCAATATATACTTATTTATATTTTCGATATATACATAGTGTGTCAATTGATTATAAAAAACGAATATTTCTATTGGACCCATTTGTATTTTGTTTAAAAAAAAACGCTTTTAAAAACCAACGAAAATAAATAATTTTAAGTTATTTTGGATCGGTGAGTGTTTGTTTGGTGGTTTTTTAAAAAAAAAACACGATAAATATTTTCATTTTCAACTCGAAGATAATACCGGCGGTGTACCATGCTAAGATGAATATTGAATATCTTACCCAGCATTCGCAGTTAGGGCGAATCCGCGGCGAAATATACAAAAATACATGAAATACTAAATATGGGGTCATTTTCGGCCGACCCCTTTTAAAATTGTTAAAAATTTCGAAAATTATTAGATAGGTTAAAAAAATGAGAAAGCCGTCTATATTAGCTCTCTTGCACACCTGGTTCTCGAGCTTTGGGGGTTCATCGGATCATAATCGCATTAAAATTCTTGCAAGCGATTCGGAATCTCTTGGGAAAATAGTAAGAAAGCAGTGCCACTACTGTAGCAACAAAAATTACAAATTTTGAACATCCCCCAGGAATGTTCTATTTGCAAAGTATCGCTATGTATTAACGCGAAAAGAAATTGTTTTTTTTCTTCTTTTTATAACAAAAAAATAATTTATAATCAGACAAAAAATGTACCTCCCCTCTCCACATTTATAAATTATTTTGTTATTATTGTATTTTATATTTAAAAATTTGAATAAATATCAAAAAAATAAATTTTACGCAAACTCAGTTAATTTTTTATTTAGGTTTTTATAGGTGAGCAATAGAGGTTTTTTTTAAATATTGAAATGTAGCAATAAAGGGTTAATGTAGTTGTTATACAATTTTATAGAGCTAATGAGTCATATGCTATAGTATAAATGTAGAGATCTAAAAAAATGGGAGAGATGGAGGGGGTAGGGGGTGACAGTACTGGGAAATTTTATCACATTTCTTATAAACTAACAGTACTTTCATTTTCCTTAAGAATAATATTTTTCAACCATAATCCATAGTTTCGTAACTCTATCTATTTCCTTCCAATTTTTGATAAAAATATATATTTCGGAAGAGCCCATGGCGTCGCCAAGATTTTGACATCAGTATATATTTATATAAGGTGTCTAAAAATGGCAAAAAAAAATATTCGAAAAGAAACTCCCTTTATTGCTTAAAAACACTGGAAAAGCAATATAGGCAAACCGGATTAAAAACTCAAATTTGCGCTAATTTTTTTAATTTTTTGATAGAACTTTAGATATTTTTTTTAGCCACAATATGGTATATTATTTTTTATTAAAAAATAGTTTTTGAGATATAAGCATTTTAAAAATTTTACAGATTCCAAAGTGGCTCTTTTTTACACCAATGAGCCCCTATATCTCGGGAATCAGGTGTGCGTAAAATAAACGGCTTTATCATTTTTCATTTTTTTTACCCATCTAAATAATTTCAGAAATTTTTAACAATTTTAAAATGGGTCAACTGAAAATCTGCCTTATTTGATCGATTGACATAGAAATGGCCCATATTTTGTATTTCGTCACGAATATGTGCTAACTATAAATTTGAGATAACCTCTCATTTACAGATTGAGCGAGTTCGAGGCGGAGAATACAAAATATCGAGTATTTTGTATAATTCGCCGCGAATTCGCGCTAACTATGAAAGATGGGTTATTCATTTTATTTCTACGGTTAGGTTCCTAACAGATAGGTAGCGTTATGAGGGTAAATATATTTATTGTTGAATGACTACTGTATTATAACACTTCAAATATATTGACGGTTATGTTAATAAATATATAAAATATCCATAAAAATCAATCGAATATATTGGCTATGACTATATTTATAAATTTTTATATATCAAATATTGGCTTCAAATATATTGGCGACCATTTATTCGAGTTATGTCTTTCACAGTTTTATTTTACCACTTCAAAAATATTGGCAGCCATTTTTATAAATATAAAAAACTACTTATTATAAAATGAACCTACCGTTATAGTGAATAATTTGATATTAAAAAATTAATACTATTGGACAGATGATTTCGATGACTTAACTGAAAATCAATAGCAAAAAATCATATGAATTCCATATTAAATGCTGGCATTTATTTAAAACTTATATTAATAGCCATTCCAAATATAAATTTTAACTTCAAAAATATTGGCAACTATCTGTAAACATATTAAAATACTCATTATAATATGAGTACACTAAAATAAATAATAGGATGTTTTAAAAAATAATATTATAAGGAATATAATAATAATTTAAATAAAAATCAACTCTTCCTTCAAATTTTTTTATTTTCGCATTTTTCAACCTAGTTTACTAAATACTTCAATTTTCTAGTAATATCTTGTTGTAATTTATATAGATTTTTTAAAAAGTGAAATAGTTCGAATCTTATAGCGTAGGTAATAGTATTTTTATTTTAAATGATAATATATTAATATACCAGATAATAGGAATACGTTGCTTATTTTGTTTAATATCAATTTTAAAAAGTGAAATATTAAGAATTTTGTGAAATCCCTGTTGCATCGCAAATTTGCCTGTTCTCATAAATATATTTGAACTAATAAAAATTCCACCCCTATACAACCCTAACTATCCTCTCCAAAATAATGTATACAATATATCACTACAAATAAGATTTTGAAGGAAATGTAACGACTATAATTCAAAATTTTTAGAAAAAACAGTTTTATATTAACCCAAATCTTTTTTTAAAATCTAATATAGTCAAAGTCCTACAATAAGTGAGCTTAAAGATCTCCATAAAATTTATGAATCTGGACCTTTTTTTTGTCAAAAGGTTCATATCCCTGGTATTTACTCATTATAAGCATCATTACACATTTTTGACCATTTTTTTTTCTTTTATATTATTAGGAAACATATTTTAAAAAATTTAAAATAATTCAAAAATACATGCCCAAATTATTTGATATTTATAGGATAAGGTATATTACATGTATTAGAATTGTAGTTTTAAAATAGAAAAAACGATTTGTTCAATTAATTTTCAATTTTGTTAAAAATTATCTAGAACATTTAAAATGTGAAAAGATTTTGTTGGAAATGAATTCCAAATGTCCTGTAACAAAGTATAGAACAAAAAAACTAAATTAAGTATTAACATTATAATACTTAAGGGGTCATTATTAAATATCAGATCTGCACCGATTTTTATGTTTTTCAAAAAATATTGGATGGATCAAGTCAAAATTTTTTTAAAAAACCAATCTGATACAATATTTTTATTGTTTTGGGTTATTTTATGATAGTATTATATAATTATATAATTTTTTATTTATTATATAAATAATTTCGTAATAATAAATTAATGAAAGTTTAAAATACAATTCAATCGTTGTTATGCATAAAAAGAAATAGTTAAAAACTATTTTATTGTAACATTATATTTGCCATGATTGAAGACAATTTCTATTAAATTTGCCTGCAGTTTTGATAGTAAGCAAATTTTAATTATTTAAAATTAGTAAAAAAAGAGATCGAAGATGTATTTATTAAAGTTTTTCGTTTTTATAGCAAAATTTCAAAATTTAATTAATTCTATTTTTTGGATAATTAATAAAAGTGTTTATGTGATTTATTTTAAAGTTATATTTTAACCAATTTTCTATTTTGTTATTTTTAATAAAAGTTCATTACATATAAATTCCTTATATTCTTATTTGATTTTTCATATTAATTTCACTATGCAACAACAAGGATTTTAAAATATCTAATGTGTCATATTCTTTTAGTGTTGTTACATGGCTCAATTTAACCAATTTTTAAAAATGAATAGCCCAATATTTTGGCCAAAGTAAATTACTCAAGCATATTGATTTTTCACACAAAAGGTAGCAAGGTTTGTATATCTATTTACAAAATTTTGAGGCTGAAATAACATTTTATTGCAAATATTTTAAATAAGACTATTAGTTTGGTCCAAAAAAAACAAAATACCCTTAATCATTCATGAAAATTACTTGGTTTTTTTAAACAGAAAATATTGATATATTGTCAACATTAGTTTACAATAGGTGGTATATAAAAATCAATATAAATATTGGATGTTATCAGGATCTTTCTTAGTAATGCGGAAAATAATTCAATAAACCTAAAATCATGAACCAACTGTTATTTAAAAATGCAAATAATAAAATTTCAATAATTGAAACAACAAAAAAATCCATAAAAAATATTGTATAATTAATTTAATAATTATAATATGGCTAGAACTATGTTGACAAACATTTATATTGTTTAAATCAGCACATTATTTTTGTTTTATATATTATGTATAATTCTGAGATAAGAATAAGATTAAAAAAATGTCATGGATTTGCATAATTTGATTCACACAAATAGTAATATATTGGAGCCATTTTAAAAATGGTTAAACTGATTGTTTTGTCCAGAAAAATATTAGGAAGCCTGAAGATTTTGCTCATTAAGGCACAGAGGTTATGACATTTATTAGTAAATCTCAAGACTTGGGCATATTGTTCTGGCTAAAACAATGAGTTAGCCTTTTTAAAATTAGGACAAATAAATTGATTTTGTTTCATTATATACATAGGCATAGATTAATTATTATTTTACATGAATTAAATATGGCTTAAAGTGTTGTTAAATGATTTAGGTTGACTTTAAAAATGGCCTGATTACGATTTTCACCATAGTAATAATATTATGTAAGCCTCGAAATTTGGCAAATAGAGGTTCAAACATTTCTGGCATCTATGAGCAAAATCTCCAGCCTCACATAATATTATTTTGGCTGAAAGTTTAATCAGGCCATTTTTTAATCAGGTTGTTTATCAAAACTATTGGTTAAGCCTGATGTTGGGTAAAGCAATGATTTATAAATATACTACTATATTTGTTATTATTTAATTAAAAGTGTGTATACATAGAAGTCCACTGCAATGTTATCTTATGGTTTACATGTCTATTAAGTCACATGAATATGCATTAATATAATGATGAAGGCATAAAATGGTACTAGAGCTCCATTTAGTGGTATATACAAACCATTGAACCAGGATTCAATTTTAATTTTCTTTTAAATTGTTACTTTTGTAAAAAAATTTATGCTTTTTTTTCTATTTTGTGGTAAATGTAAATATTTTAAAAAACTAATCATTTGCGTAATTTGAAAATAACATTTTTAACATAAATTTAATTTATTTTTGTATGATAATAAAGTATTAGTCCTATTTTTTTTAATATTTCTTCACATAATTTCAAAAAGTTCAGTTTAGTATTGGAAGATTATTCTTTATAATTTCATTATGATTATATGTAGCCTAATAAATATTAGGAGGAGGCTAATCAAACATGTAATTAAAAAAGAGGGTAAAAAATATTTTAGGTGGTGGGGAGAGAATTCTAGCATGCTCTCATGTATATGAATTATGTAGAGAATAAAGTGTTATTTCAGGAAATTAAAACTTAATGTTTACATAAAATGGAAATAAATAATAATATAAAAATTTTATTATATTAACAACATATCCTAAAAATTAATCAAATTTTTTTTATTTACTTCAGGTACCCATTTTTTGTGTGCTAACCAATTGTCAGTTAAGTGTGTTATCACAACCGGTATATTTCGCTTTTCATATTGATAGCTAAATTCTAGAGGAGTCATAGATCTACCATCGATTCTTACACAATTATCTTTAATACTATTAATTGCTGTGTCAAATGTATCAGCATATCTATTATGACTCCACCCACCTGGAAAATTAAGTTCTATAATATCTTATAAGTATCAGATAATAAAATTAATGCATAATACCGCTTCTCGCTTCACGTTTGATCCTATTCACTTTTTTAATAATTCTTTCCATCTGATTTTTGCAATTTGAATATTATAGAAATATGTGATGATGATGTTGATTGATGTTTAACAAGTTATAAGATTTAGACGAGCAATTTATTTGCGCTTTTTTTAAATTTTATTAAGTAATAAAAAAATACTTTTCTTAGACATACATTTAGATATGGATATCTGTTGTCTTTTCCATTTTTTTACATATATTTTTATTGATAAAATGATTAATTTAAAAGATGTTAGAGAAAAATAATTGATTATATATTTGTTAACTTTGAGTATTAGGGTATCGCTATTAGCGTCGATAAACTCTATTTTTTCAAATTATATGAAAAACACCTTTATTAAAATGTTACCACGAACGAAGGATCAAATTTTTGGGGATGATGTTAGAATATAGCCAATTCAACCACTTATTAACATCAGGGACCTGGGGTGACCATAAAAAACGGTGAAACTATTATAAATCTTTATAAATATCTGATCAGTAACCGAACGGATATAATTATTGAAGGAGTAAAAAGAACCTTTGTAAAAAAAAGTTAAACCGGTTTATATCGGTTTAGAGCAAAATAAAATAATTCTCATTTTTTACATATTTTGCCATATCTTCGTCGTTATTTATAATTATTCAAAGATCAAAATCGGAATTTAAAAAAGCTATTTCAAATGTACACAAAGAACATAATATTAGAAATATTATTAATTTTTTGAAGGTGTTAAAAGGATCGATAAAAAATTATCTGTTTTATTAATATGTGAATCGAAAAAAATTGAATATCCTTAATTGATATCAGAGAAGGCCCAGCCCTAAACCCCCGGCCCGGGCCTAAAAAAATTTTTTTAATATATCCGGGCCGGGCCTAAGATTGTTAAACCCGGGCCGAACCAGGGCTTAATATTTTTTATAAAAATTTTTACATTTTGAGTTAATGGTTATAAGATTATATTATATTATAGTTATGATTAATATAATATTGGGTGATGGTTAACACTACCTAACACCCACAGATCGATCTAATTATTTATTTCCTGCAAATTTATTCAAAGTATTATTATATTTTTTTATAATTCATATCTAAATTTTTACAACATATTTTACCAAAACAATCAAATAAAGGAATATCTTAAATAAGCCCCAATATTCAAATATTTTTATTATATTTTTTTATAATTCATATCTAAATTTTTAGAATATATTTTACCAAAACAATCAAATAAAGGAATATCACTTCTTGAAGTTTGTAATACCTTTCAAAGCGAAAAAGGAGAAATAAAATTGATTTTACTTAATATAAAGCATTTTTTAATTGAAAAATTTGTTTTACACAATTTTATTTCTCTTTTTCTCTGTCCCAAATTCAAGCAATTACGTATGTTGTCAGGGACAGATCGTAAGATGACGGAAAACTATATAAAAGATTATATTAAATTACAAGAGGCTCAGGAAGTAAATGAAATACCATCGACCAGTCAAATTACGACTGTTGTTAAACAAACTGAATCGTTTTATGACAAATGGGGCGATGGTAATTCTGGTAATATGTCAATACCCGATGATGAATATTATAATTACATAAATAAAAAAATAGATGAAAAATTTAGGGTGGATAATTTGTTAGAGTGGTGGGCGGCTCATCAAAGCGAATTTCCAATTTTAGCAAAATTGGCAAAACGGGTATTGGCAATTCCTGCTTCAAGTGCAAGCTGTGAGCGGAATTTTTCCACTACTGGAAGAATTCTTGAAGAAAGAAGAAGTAATCTTCAACCTGAAAAGGTATATATGCTTCTCTTTCTTCATGATAATTTGTGAATTTTTAATATCTTTCTTAAGTATAGGGTTTCGTCAATCATGCTGGTTTTTTACTTTGCAAACTGTCAAATATTTATTGCATTTATTATATTTACCTTGAGTCATGAAAGTTTTTAATCCAACATTTTTCATTATTTTTTTTTACACTAATATATAATACAATTATCTTCTTTTGTTAAAAATTTATATTATAAAATAAATTATATTAATATTGTGCAATTAGATTATATTTTCAAAATACTATTTATTATACATGCATTTTTTTAAATAGATATTTATTTTTATTTTATAAATTAAATAGTAAATTAAATACAATATATTATATTCTCAAAATATTTTCCATTTTTATAAATTAAATATTAGTTTTATTTTTTTTAAATGCAATATAAAATATAGTATATGCTCAAAATATTATTACCATTTTTATGAATATTAGTTTTATTTTTATAAATGCAATATAAAATATAGTATATGCTCAAAATATCCATTTTTATAAATAACTGTTTTATAATTTTTATAAATTCAATATAATATTCTCAAAATATTAGCTTTTTACATGTATTTTTTAAATAATATGCGATAATACTCGCTGAAAAATATGGTAAAATACCTCATAGGTGAATTTTTGTATATACCAGGTCGAATATAATTTTAAAAAATTCCGAGCCGGGCCTGAAATTTTTAAATCCGGGGCCGGGGTGTAAAATATTTTTCTTTTAAATATGCGGGCTGACCTGGCCGGGCCTAATAAATTTAAAACCGGGCCGGGCCGTGCAAATGGTACCTCTGCAGGTCTCTGATTAATATGCTAGTTTATTTTGTATGTATAATATATTAATGACAAAATATGAAATCAGAATAATGTTCAGAGTAGCAAATTAAAAAAAATATAATATATAAATATAAAACCCAGAAGCGCCCCATACCCCTCCCCATAAAAAATTATAGTTGAGCCCCCCTGAGAATATAAAGGCTAGCGACGCCCCTGGTTATTTGAATCTTATATATTTTTTTATATCTCATAGATGCTTAACTTATAATAAAAATAAATTAATGATGACAAAAATTTTAATAAATATTCATAATTAAAATCATTATACAATGGTATTAATTAAGTTAAAAATTTACGATAAGATAATTGATAAAATTAAGAATTTTACATAAGATATTTCTTTTATTAGTAAAAATAAAAATAATGTATGTAAGTTTTTTTTAAACATTATCTACTAATCATGATTAACATTTTATATAAAATATATGTATAATAACATTATGATTAAATAATTACAACAGTGTTGTTCAATAAAAAAAAATTCTAACCGTAATGAGCAGTTATAAATCTTGACAATTAGCTGCCCGAATCTTTATAAATTTTTTCTTAAACCGTAACCATTATAATTTTTTACATACTGAACCGTAACTAAATTGTCCTTGATTATCAGTGTTGGGAAATTTTCGCTGTTATAGTGCAGTATATACCCTGATGAGGCTGTTATTGTATATAAAATTATAATTCAGAATAAATTAAAATCATATGGGAAATAATTTGAATGTATGAATATATTTTCCTAAATATGATAACTCGGGGTGTTTCGAAATAACTACTACAAAAGGAGGGTAAAAAACCGTAATTTATTTTATATAAATTTTTAAACTGGTTTATATGTAATAAATGGTACAGAGCTTAGCTTATAATTACACCTTTTGGTGGGTTAACAGCCGGGTATATGAGCATAAACATCAACTCAATTAATTATATTATATGGTAATCGATAATCTAATAAATATCAAACACAAATGTGGATACAAGCACAAGTGCTTTACCTTTATAACTAATAAGAAAAAATTTAATAACCCCAATTAAATGCTTTTATCTTTTAGTATTTCATTCAAAAATTTTAGAAAAATATTTTTAACAATTTCATTGTTTTGTATTTTTGGAAATTAAAATAGGACTGACTCAAAAATGAACATTATATTATTTGAAATAGACACCTTTTTTTTTTATTTTTAAAGCTATTTTGTTATTAAAAAATAATTTGATTTTATGTCACATACTTTAAATTATTAAACTCTTTTACATATTAATTGGTTTAAATCAGACTAACAACGGTTATATGAGTTTATAAATAGGTAATATAAATTTTTTTTCATAAATATAGAATTTATATTTAAGAATTTTAAAACATTTACATAGGTTTAAAAAATTTTAATTTAAAATAATAAAAAATATTATATGCATTCTTTTTGAGGCGAGTAATTTATATTTTTAGCAGTCATATATATCAGTAGCGTCGCTAGGAAGGGGGGCAGGGGCTCGAGCCCCCTGAAAAGTTTAAATAACCCCCTAAAGCAAAAATTTTTTTTTAATGGTTCCTTAATATCCCCTTGGGCTAAAAAGAAATGTTTTTAATTGCCCTCTGAATAATTTCTTTTATAATTCTATTGAGTAATATATAGATTTAATTTTATTAAAAAATTAATAGGACTATCTTAATTTTGATATACTATTTTAATTATTAGATTAGATTATTACATATTAATTATACTATGTCAGCTTGCAATCAAATTCTATATTAAAAATAAAACAATATCACTCATTAAATATTAATTTAGCATTAACAGTTGTAGCATAATTGTCTTTTATTATTTAAATTATTATATAACCCTAATTAAATAAATATAATCATTTATTAATTGATTCATAATTTAATATTTTTGCCGAGTTTAAAATCACTAATCAACTATATTATTGATTTTTAAATTTAATTATCATGTCTCTTCCTAAAATTATTTTCAAGGTCCAAATCCAAATAAGTATAAGAGATTTATTTATAAAAAATAGACATATATATTATAATCCTCAATTATATATAATTTTTTATAAAATATAAAATATTAGGTAAAATGCCACTTTTACGACGTAGCTGACAGTTATATAATATATTACAGTTAATATTTTTAAAATTTTACTAATAAATGCTTTTGATAATAAATATAAGTAACAATTTGCTTACAGATATTTAACGCCATCTATTTATTTACAATATAATTAAAATTAAGCGTATTATTATATATCCCATAATGGATGTAATAAATTAGATATCTTTTCTTCTCTTTTTTACGTGTTTTTAGGAAGCTATTTTTTTCTTCTTCGGAATATAGATTTGAGTTACGAATATATTTGTAATATTATTATAAATTTAATATATATTTTTTTGTTTAATTATAAAATTTTATAAAAAGTTTTATTTGCAATTATTATATTATTTTTATGGTATGCAATGATGTGAAGGGAAAATATTCTTATAGATAAGGTCAGCCCGTTTTGATGGGTATGCTTGAGGTGAGAATATTGTTTAGTTTGCATACTGGAGAAAGTTTTTTTTGGTGTAAATTTTTTTTTTGTAAATTTATGCTGCATATTACATTTTTATCTTTGTAATAATTTTATAGCACATCACTATTTACTATTTATTTATGAACATTTTTTTTAAAGAAAAGACTCAAATTATTTTATATTGTGAAGGTATATTAAAAATTATTTACGTATATATCATATAGCCCATTATATTCTCAATTTTTGTTACTTTGCATTCTACATTTTTGTGAATTTGTGCTAATTGTGATGACAGAGTTAGGTAGAAATGGTATATTTTTCTTAGGATACTGAGTAACTAGATGGAAAATATTGTATTTTCTGCGTATTATATATTTGTTCTTTATAAAATATGAAATTTATTTCTATACATATGTATTCTAAAATCTTTGTTCGACAAATTTTCACAATTATTTTAATACCTAAAAATGGATTTTTATATCTATTTTAGGAAATATTTATAAGAATGTAGTTTGATTTTGTTTACATTACAGAAGGACAATTACATGTGTTGAAATTGCATTTCACACACAGACAATATGTTCACATTACATTATTATATGTAAAATCATTATTTCTTAAATACCATGAATCATACTCAAATAATGTATATTATAGCTCATATTTCCCAAATGTCTTAAAATGAATGAATTATTATGTTTTGCTGATATTACATTGTCCATATAAAGGTTTCATAGATTATAAAGGCAGATACCCCAATGTACATGTCATTATTGATAGTGTTTGTTTTCGCGATTATATATTGAAATGTACCGGAGATATTATATTATAAATCATCATACGGGGAGACGATTCGATAATTCCCTGAACGTCTTCAAGGCATCCCGAAATTCAAAGAGGTGATTCGATACAATTCAAAGGGGCGATTCGATACAACACCACCACAGAGAGAGGGACGCTGGGCTTGTGAAGGGTGGGCGTGTTGTAGTTGTTGAAAAAAAAGAAGAAACAAATTTAATATAATACATCAAATGTCAGTTATTTTTTGACAGGGGATTTGAGTTTTCCTTGGTAGAGAAGAGGTGGAGCATCACATGGTTGATGGTGAATAAAGTCCTTTGTTGAAAATTTAACAGGAAGAGATTGGATTAATGGTAGAAGATGTCAGCTGTGGACTTTTGGGAAATGAAGAATTGGATAATTATGATTTATTATATTATATTTTTCTGATATTAGATTGTTATTTTATTTAATGAATAAATTTGGATCGTCTTGTTATGAAATATGGTTTGTTTTATGTTATGAAATATGGCTTGTAAAAATTATCATCTTACTTAAAGAATATTTTTTATTACATATGCTAGAATACGCCAAAAAAAATTCTGAAGTTAGGTATTTTAAGTCAATAAAGGATAGAACACTTAACCAGAGTTTTTTTGTTTCACTGTGTGATATTAATAGAAAAAACATTATCGACTACTTCAAGAGGAATTATATTAATAGATTTTTAATAGAGGTCATAAAAGACAATCCGTGGTCCCAAAAACATCAAATTGAGCTCCGATATTTGCTAGATACTTGGAATATAAATCAGAATACTACGAAGACCACCACAATAATATATGCATCAGAAGGAATAATAAGTTTGTCAACCTAATGAAAAAAAGAACAACCATCAATCTAGGTAGCTCAAGAAAAGTTAATACAAGATTCCTTGACGAAGCGAAACTAGAATAGCGTGTTGATAGACAGATGCCAAAATAGAGCTAGCGCTATTGTTGCTATGAATATTAGATATGACATGTAAGCTTATTTAAATTCCATTATTTACAAGTTTTTGTGAACTAGTACTGTTTAAATAACTATTTTGTCTATTTAAATACAATGAAATTATTTGTCTAATAAAAGAAAACTTATCTTATTACAAAATTAAGTCGAGAATATCACAATTTGGATGCATCTTGCACTTACACATAATAAATGAAATGTAAAATAAATATAGAAAATATTACTTAAAAATAATCATTTTCATATAATAATTAAAAAATATATATATCTCTATAAAAAATACGAATTATTAATTAAATTGTATAACTATGGATGTAAGCCGCATAATTTTATACATCGATTTAACTAGGTATCTTATTACTTTAATTATCATTTATATTGTTTTTTAAAAAATGAGCTAATTTCTACACGATATTTTTTCCATATCTTATTTCCTCGATTTTTTATAAAGAGTTTTGATTTCCGGGGTCTTAATTCCCTTACCAATAAAATACATATAATCATTATTCATGAAAATTTATAACTAATCAAATTAAATGAGTTGGAAAATAAAAGCTTAAAATTACAAAATTAATCTGCAAGCATTATCTTATGAAATTTTTAATGTATTAAATGCATGAATGCACACAAAGAAACTACGAGGGATTGCTAAAATGCAGGAGGTTTCAATTTAATATTTTTTATTATCTTTAGTAGTTATTAAGTTAATAGCTAAATATTGTCCGCGAGGCCGTACGAGGTATATACACCACCTCTTTTTCATTTGTATTATTAAAAACAATGTCTCATTTGAAAGAGATCACATTTAAGTAAAATATTTCATAAGTCAATTATATTTAAATTTTTTACAAGAATATCTCATCACCATTATGGATATGTCATCATTGCCGATGAAATTTGAGTATTTTTTATATTTTAGCTGATTCAAATTTAATTAATTATGTTATATAAAAGAGAAATTGATGACGTCTTGCAATAACTGAAGGAACATTTTATAAGAATACACAATATCAAGTAAAATATTATAATATTTATGAATAATTAGAGTTGGAGAAAATTTATAACTGTTGTCAAAAGCTAATTTTAAAAATTTATTGAATTAGCATTTTGTTCGTCTAAATCTAATATATTTAGAATTACATATCTATTAATTATCTACAATTTATCGGGTATAAGATGAACAATTGTTATCAATATGGTTAACTAAAAGATTGAAAGAGATATATAATGGTAGGTTAATTTAGTTATATCTGAATAAAATGCTTAGTGATAATTACTAAGAAATAACTTAAACAAAACTAAAAAACATGTTACTTCTATGTACGATTGTCTTAAAATTTATCCCACAACAAAATAACAATTAAATTATATCTCGCGCAAGAGTTTTTTTATTATATTTAACCCCATTAAAAAGGTTTTTGCAAGCTGCAAATAAAACACTTAGCATTTCTTCACCCGCCTCCTGCAATGACGATATAATTTAATAAGGTCAAGAAAAAACAACTTAAAATATATAGGTCTAAATCATGAGCTTGTTCTCTAGTTTCGTGGTTAGTAGCCAAACCCCTCTTCTGAGTTTTACACAATCAACTAATTATCACTAATATAAGCAAACAATTTTTATAAAATTTAAGAAAACCTAATGAGTTCAAGAATCAAGTTCAGAACTCGAGTCACGGCTTGAGTTCAGGATTTGAGTCATACAATGGATTGACTAATCGACTTACAAGTTTTTATTTACTTTTCAACTAAAAACTCGACTTGAGTTGTGCTTATGACGATTAATCAGAGTCGTTTCACAATACTAACTTTGGGTAGTTTTGATAATTGCTAGATATTGCCCGACGTGGTGCTTAATCATATGCCCATGGAATCTGAGTATTTTTTATATTTTAGCTGATTTATATTAAAGGATTTATGTTATGCATAGAGAAATTCCGAATAACGTTCTGCAATATCTGGAAGAACATTTTATAAGAATACACAATATCAAGTAAAATATAATAATATTTTATAACATTAATAATAATTAAGGGTTGGAGAAAATTTATTGAATGTTTACAATGATGGAAATTTTAAAGAATTTATTGAATTGGCATTTTGTTCGTCTAAGTATTTAATAATATATTTAGAATTACATATATATTGTTTATCAAGAATTTATCAGCAATCAGCTGAACAATTATTACCAGTATGGCTAACTAAAAAATTAAAAGAGAGATATAAAGGTAATTTATCAATAAATTATTTTCTACTATTATTTTATAAATAAGGTCATTTTGCTAATAAAAATAAAAGCCTCCTATCTTCTGATCTAAGTGATCATAGTAGTGAATCTTCAAATTCTATTTTATATCCTGAAAATGCCTTACCTCGATCGCCTCATCATGATTTATTAAATTCTATCAATCCAAAATCCTCAAGTTCAACATATATAAATCATCCCAGCAAACTTGAAAATGTTAATAATTCAATAAATAGCTTTTTCCCAAAGCATCATTATGATAACTTTATAGATGTGATTCAGCCTATTAATTTTCCCAATTTCAATTTATCAAATATAAATACTTCTTTAGCAATTAAAAGTTTGATTGATGATATGTTAATGAAAATAGAGTGCAATCAAATGCCAAAATATGCTAAATCTCAATTCAAAACAAATTTATTGATCCAAAATTTATCTGTAATTAATAATTGTGTTCAAGACCTTTTAGACAATGTGTGTTTAAAGGTGAGTAATGCAAATAACACTAATATCTTGACATCAAATGATGGAAATAATTTTCCTAAATCACCTGTATCTATAATTTTAGAAAGTGAAACAAGCTCACTTTCAATTGAATCAACTAACAGCACCTCATCTAGTGAAGATTATGATGATGATGATAGTAGAGATATAGATGAAAATTTTGATAATAATCAAATATACACAGACTTAAAAGGTTCGGTTCAACATCAAACTAACAATTTAGATGTAGCATATGACCAATTACCAACCCTACACACATTTTACAACAACAATGAAAAAATCTCTAATAATTCAGAGATTATTGAATTATATGATAATAATGATATTCATAATCTAAAAAATTGCCATGAATCAATGATTCCAGAATTTATAACTAATAGTCCATATATTAAGAAAAAACAGCATTTAAATGCACTGAATATAATTACTAATTCTGAATTACACAATGAAAGCTTATTAGGAAATAGTGCAATGGATAATACACCTTCCAAATTTTCCCTGGATATTGGTAATGAAGGAATCATCTCTTATGATGATGTGACTACTATTAATGGATCATCTTTTAAATACAATATGTATGCATCATCTCCTACATTTGAAGTAAAAAATGGAGATGCCAGTTATCATGATTATAAGGACATATCATGCCAGCACCATTTTAAAACAGACCTGAGTGATAAATTAATAAGTGATACTTCACAAAACTTTAATGAACATATTCAAAACCCATTGAATGGAGAGCAACTAAACACCAACACAATGAATATTAAATCAATGGACATCATATCCCCTGTTATGGAATGCAGCAATTTACCTGATACATTCACAAAATTGCCATGTCAAACAAATTCATTACCAAATACTAGTCCAAATAGTTCAAGTCTGGATTCAACCCTTCCTTATGTTAATTCTAAAGCCTCTAAAATCTTTTTCAAACCTACCATTTTACTCAATCCCATAGGTATGGACATATTTAAAACTTGCTAATTAAATAACTTTTCACAGGTTATGGCCTAGGTTTCACTGATAAATATAACCAAATCAAATGCAGCACCTCAACATTCCCAGAGGTTAATTTTAAGTTAGATGTCAAAACCATATTTCCAAATCCCCTTTCCAACATTAGCAGTATGAAGCACATCTTTGGGCTTGCGACCAAAGTACAGCCTTATAAGATTATTATTATTATGTATTTTTGTATAAATTATTTTAAAGGAATATTGCCTCTTTTAATTTAATAAATGATAAGAAATTATTGCTTTTCTTTGTTTAAAGATTACAGAAAGTGATTCAAGTGGAAACATGAAGATGCATGGGTCTTCCATTTCTAGTTCTCTCAGGAGCAGTTCACAGCTAGTTCACACTATTTCTGAGCCTAAGGAAATTTGTAATAAATATTTTAAGGCTAAATCAATGTTCACACATCATTCACATCCTTTTAGTAATAATAATTTGAACTTTACAAAAGTCAGTGCAATATATGATAACGATAAGGGCCAAAATAGTCATTCCATTACAGCTTTTACACAAAATCAAAATTATGAAAGCTGCTCTACATCATCAAAATTTAAATCCTGTCAAAATTTGGCCGCATCTTTGACTTCCAGTGATTTAAGTTCATTGCCTTTGATCTCAAATCTAACAGCTTGCAACAATTTCACATATGATCCAGAAGAGAGTAGGCGAATTGACGTCCTCTCTCCTACCAAAAAAATCGTAATACAAAATTCACACTCTCTTGAGTTATTATCGAAAACTCGAACTTTATCCAAATACGTTTCCCCAGTTTTTTACGTTGTAGGAAGAAAGAAGCGTAAATATATAAAACGAAAATACACATCACACTTCAACACCAAGAGATTGAAGTAATCACTCCCTTCACCTTCAAAAACAATTTTTACTTTTAAAATCAAATAAATTGAGATATATTAAAATTATTTTGTTTCTAGAAAAAACCCTAGATCTCCATCTGATAGCATCTCTGTCGATCAACACTCATATGATATTCACGATGAATCTTTTATCGACCAAACATCGAACCCAACTGATACCGCCACTTCTCAACAATCATATAAAAAAACGTCCTTACTCTGGAAAACGAGAGCTTTGATACTACTTGATCGATTGTACATCATTCCAGGTAGTGATGTGTATTATTCCCCCATCACAGAAAATCAGGCGCCAGATTATTCAAAGATTGTCAAACATCCTATGGACTATTCGACACTCAGAAAATATATTCGCAACGGAACGGTTACCAATGACACCCAATTATTAGAGAATATTTTGATTATTCATACGGTAATTCAAAATAATTAAATTTAATATTTCAATATCCATCTACTTATAATATCACACCTTTTAGAGTTTTTTTTTGCTAGTGGGTTATTTCTGTTAACATTTGGTTATTTGATAAATTTACCCCCCTGGATATTTGTGTGAAATTTTATGTACAAACTACAGCTAAAGCTTGGTTCAAATTTAGCATCCTGGATTTTACATTTTTGGAAATATCAAGTTTGTGCGTGCACCTTTGAGATGTTAAACTTAGACAATTGCCAAAGTTATCAAAACATTTGTAGTGTATAGAATATATTGGGACTCAAAATTTTGATCAAAATTAGAAGTTCTGAATTATCATGGGCCCAAATTTAATAAATTTTACTGTACATTTTATTTTAAACAATATTATTATATTTTTTATAACATCCCATTCTAATGTTAAAGATTATTGGTAAAAAATAAATTAAGACCCATTCTATTATAAATTATAAAAAAAATTGGAAAATCAAGTTTTCGCTTGCATGAAGAAAGTCAATAAAAACACTTTAGAATAATTTAATTAGGACTGTGCCGATCCACATATTTTCACCAATCCGATCCGATACTGGTTCAAAACCCATCCGATACCGACCCGATATTTATATTGATTTTTCCAACACCCTCTTTTGAACCAAATATAATTAAGAAATCAATATTTTGTATGCAAAAAATCGAATTATGCATTTAATTTAATTTTTTTATTTCTTCAATAATTCAAAAAAGTTTACGCATATTGGTAGTATTAAATGGATTTTTCATTATTCCTTTCCATGATATTAGAATTCCGCAGATAACGCATTTTGCAAAATTAACTTTGTCTAAAATATTTCCATAATTTGAATACCATATTTAAAAAAATTCTTTTATTTAAAGTATAAATATAAAATTGGCGTTATTATTTAAAAAGATTTCTAATAAAAAAACTTTGGGTGTTTCTTTCTATTTTTATAAAAATCTTTTAAAATATTATAAATCTATTTTTAAAAAAAATAAATAAAATTTAAGGGATTCTATGCATTTTTAGAAAATATTATTAATGTAAAATAAATATACATAAAATACCAAGAAAAAGTAAAAAGATCGGATCGGGTTTTACAGGTATCGGCCCGATCCGAGATTTATGGAAAACGTTAAATATTGGTGCCGATCTGATATTTATTATCGGCACAGCCCTAAATAAGTGGTATTTTTTTATAATAGTAAAGAATCATTTTAAATTAACTAAAAAATTCTAAGGTTGGATTATTGAAAATATTTTTTGATATATATAGGGGAGACCAGGGCTAGTCGGCGCAAGGGGCTTGTCGGTTCAGTGTATTTTATTTAAAAACCAGACATGTTTAAATAGCCTTGTATAATATGTACATTTGAGGCTAAAAATTTTCCTATTAAATTATACTTACAAATAGATATATTATAATATATTATTTATGTAATAATATAAAATAAGTATTCATTGGCTACTATTATATATTTAAATCAAATCTATGAGAATTAGGAAAAAAATAATAAAAATTTATTAAAAATTTTAATTTTTTATAATTCAAATAATTTCATATTTTGTCTATTTTATATGAATTATTTTTTTGTAAATACTATATTTATATCAATAAAACTTTGCCCATGAAAATAATGCAATATTAATATTAGCTTATGATTAACAAAAAAATTGAATTTCTACCCCCGGGTTTGGGTTTTGTTGGTGCAAAAAACGAATAATTTATCAATGCATAAGGTTAGGTGGATGTTTGGGCTATCTCATGATATCTTTTAAATCCAAATTTCTGACCTATGATGATTTTGACAAAAATTGCGTCGACTACCTTTGGTCTCCCATACATGTAATTTACTGTTTTGTAAAATATTTCATATCATTAAGAATTAAAATATTTCATAAATAATGTGTTGTAGATTATTTTACCATATAATAAGATTATCATATAAAAACATTTTAAATAATTTTAAGACAAATTACATATTATCCCAAAAGATTATCTTTGTTTTTTTAAAAATATTTTTAAGATTTTTGCTTTTGAAAAAAAAATTCAGATCAGATATAGATTAGTCTTAGACCTAATTTATAGCAAACCAGTTATGTTCAAGTATTACGTTATGCTGATTCTTCATAACGTTAACAATGACAAATTGAGCGTTAATATTTTTTGAAATAACGCTCCATATTTATGAATTATACCTATTTATTGGCTTGATTTTGTAAAACGCAGCGTTAAATAGCCCACCGTATGGGGATAACGCGTTTACTATATATTAGGCCTTACTCACATTTGCTAACAATTTTATAAAAATATTTAACTTTAAAATCGTGTTAAATTGACCGCCACATTAAAATAAATAATTTTTTTTATAGAAATATAAATGTTTACACTTTATCTTGATATTAGAATAATTAATTTTGGATAAATTTTAGTGAATCTTAAATGGAATGATAGACAATTGATAAGCATAAAAATAGATCATGCTTTCATACTTTGACCCTCGATATCTCCAAAATTATAAAAGCTAGGAGCAGTGTTGTACAACCGTTCGATTTGCGCAGATTTTAAAAACGGCTAACTCAATATTTTATCCAGAAATATTATACGCAAGCCATAAGATTTTGCTCATAGATGTGGCACAAATGTTTGGCATAGATTAGAGAAATCTCGAGGTTTGGACCATATTTTTCTGGCTAAAATATTGAGTTAACCTTTTAAGTTTGACAGCACTGAAGGAATGCTTTAATTTGAATCATACTTTAGTTACACGTTTATTTTATATACAAAACTTTACCCAAATTTCAACTATCCAAAAATTCTATATATTTTTGATATGGCATGTTCCGCCTCCCAGTGATGTGGGATTATTTTAATTAAACTTAGTTTATAAAAGGGTATTAAAGTTATCATGATATATATTTTATTTCTTACTTGATATTTCTCTTTCTTTTTTTTTGCTAAAATTGAAGTTGGTTTGATTTTTTTTACGTATAAAAATGATTAATTGGTTGATAAATAACTTTAAACTTGAGCTTTTTATGGGGTCATGTCCGGGTTTTCGAGTTAGATTGACTCGGGAATACATTTTTAGGAAATATCCATACAAGTATGACTGACGACTTGAAACAAAAAAATTATTTAGTTTTTAAAAGCTTGAACTTCATTTTAAATGTTAACCATTAATTTTTTTGAATAGTCTCCAAAATCCAAGCATTTATTAATATTTTGAAACCCATTTAATTAATTAATATTTTACTATAAATCTTATTTATAAATAATTTCTTTAGAATTGGTGAAAATTTAGTTTATAATCATTTTTGTTTTCTTCTTCAAAATTTACTTTATTCTTCAATCTCATCAAATTTAATTAAATATTAAAAACGAAGTTTGGGAAATATATGGATAAAGCTAATAATAGTACCGATGCAAGATTCTACTTGAAATTACTAAGCAAATTTTTCATTTATGATGATTTATTTTTGATGATTTATTTGTACGCTTTGAATTGATTGAAAAGATATTTTAAAAAAATACATTTAATATATAGGGTCATCTGGACCTCTTTCATATCTAATGAAACTTTGCATCAGGATTATACGTATTCCGAACCCATGCATATTTATTTTTTAAGCATTAACACAATTAGTTCCGTAAATATGGTGGTTCAAAGCTTAAAAAAATAGCGCCAGTTCTAATTCGGAAAAACTTATAATAATAAAGATTACTAAAAGAATAAATGATAGAGAGGACTCTACATTTATATCATTAGAAAACTCCTGATCCCCTTAAAAATAATTCAATATTTTTAAAAAATATTAGAAGTTTTTTTTATATTTGAAAAGGGCTAAGATAGATTTTTTAATATGTACTTGAGCATAAAATTTTCTAAAAAATGGTATATATTTTATGTTTATTAATTCAATATAAATTTATAATGAAAAAATTAGTTTGGGATAACCATTTTTTTTAGTAATTTGATTTTTTCTAATTTTTTATCATTATACATGGCGATGTACATAAGAAACTATATTATTATATTCTTTAAAATATATAATTATAAATAAACAACATTTACGTAATTTTTGAAATAAAATATTATTTAGTCTCTGATTTCCATTTTATTCTGGTTTTAAAACCTCCTTGGATGTAAGCGTCTAAGTATGTCATGATGTTGTTATAGGATTTATAATTCCTATAATGTTGACAGTTATATAATTATATATAATATATTAAGTTCAAAAGTTCATGGCAAAATTTTCTGAAATTAACAGGGTATTTATTTTAAACATGTTGGAATACGTTACCGGTAAATGCTTGAATATAAGATGTTAATCATAAATGTCTGTATTACAAAATGGAGTTAGTTTATATTTATTATATAGGTTACACCGGTTCGGTTCCGCAATTAATTTCGGCTTTAATTCTCTAACATTTTATTAGAGAGTTTTGGTCCCAGTTCCCATTTGTCCCCATTACAAGGGTTTCAGGTTTTTGCCGATTTAAATGTTCAATCAAGATTTTATTAAAATCGTAAAACATATTTTTTTTATTGAATATTACGCATTATTCAAATTATTGACACAGAATACCTTGATGTACAACTCCGAGGATGATCTCATTTCCCTCGTAAACGTAAAAGTTTGGAAATTGGTCAATGAGTGTTTTCGCGAATATTTTTCTTCCATTTTGTAAGTTTAAAATACAAATTTGAAACTACAAAATTTATTAAATCTTATTCGAATTTTTCTAGATCAGCCGATTCGGAAGAATAAATCTGCCACTTATACAAAAAAAAATCATAATGTCTATTATTTTTAATAAAAAAATTTTTTTTAAATTTTATACAAATTTATAATAAATAAAAGATTTTTACAATAAATTTGTAATTATATCATGATAGTAGACTAAAATTTGTTGATTTTTTTTTACCCAATTATGCGTAATGTCGAGCGTTATAACAAAATTACACCATTTTTCAGATAAAATCTCTCACTTATTGAAAAAATAGATTTTTTAATTAATCTATAGCGTCCTAGAGCTTGAATCAATTTTTGTTCTTAATAATTCTATTCAAAACAACCTGGTTAATAATTCTTTTTTTAATAATTCTTTTTTTAATAATTCTTTTTTTAAAAATTCAGATTTTTGGCATATTGTTATCGCTTAAAGATATACTTATTTAATTTAATTTTTTAATCTAAAAATCACTTTCAAACTGCTATTTAGAATTTTAAAAAGAAAAAAGGCGAACACATAATTTTAAACCTTTTTTATCTTTTCATTTTCGGTTGTATTTTTGATCGCACACCTCTCAACCACATCTTTCAATCCCGATAAAAATTTATACTAAGATTTCATGTAAATTGGAGTCTAGAAAAATGCTGACAAAATTTAGTAAAAATAACAAGAAAAATTAGTTTTTTTTAAATTAATTTTTTATAATATTTAATAATTAACAAAATAATATATAATTAGAATAATACAATATGCTCAACTGACTTGCAACTGCATTTAATCAAACTATTCTATCTTAAAATTTTGTTCTTTTCTTTGGTCTTTTAGTTTAATAATCCAACAGATCTTTTAGTTTAATAATCCAACAGATCTTTTCTTTGGTCTTTTAGTTTAATATTCCAACAAACAACAATATATATTCCTAAATATATATTCACATTTATCTATGATAAAATTTTTGTTTAGGTTCGGTTCGGGTTCAAAACCAGATCAAAATTGTGAACCCGGTTCCTTTAAAGTGGGTTCGGTAAAAATATGCTCAGGTTCAGTTATGTACAGGAAATTAAAATTTTAATAATGTCAATCATAATTTTGTAAATTGACCAAAATTTCTAAAATGTAAATTAAAAGATCATTTTAAGCATATTATAATATTTATTTAAAACGTGCTAAGACCAAATAAATTATATTATAATCCTCTTTAATAATATACATAAGTGGACAATATTAATTATGTTAATATAATATAGGAATCAATGTCATCACTAGGGGGTGGGTTTGGGGTTCAAGCCCCAGCAGAATTTCGAAGAGCCTTCAAAAATTTTCAAAATATAATTGAAAGCAAAAAAAATTGCAAAATATTAGTTTTTATTTTTGAGATTTTGATTTGAGTACTCATTGAGCCCCAGCAAACTGAACAGCCTGGAGACGGCCTTGATAGGAATTTTGATAATGATTATTTCAATAATATATTTTTCTGTTATAAATTAAATTCTATTTTTTTTTGTTTATATAAATTTACAATAAAATTAGTATAAACTTGAGTTCAAAATGAGTTTAAAACTTAAAAACTGGTTCATGTTCCATGGCAGTGAAGAAGAAGGTAGTGAAATATAAATTATTAAAATAAGTTCCCCTGAATTAAATCCCAATTTTAAAATTTTAGATGAAAATACTTACAGGAATGTAAACCCTGTATAAACAAAAAAACGATAAAGGGTTCAACACAAATTTTGTTAAACATATTAAAGTATATTATTTATATGTGGTTAAAAGGGACATTAGCTTAAAAATTTAAGTTTACAATATTACCTACCTTTATTAAAAGCTGCCCAAGATGGTATTCACGAAAAATTTTTTATTATATAAATATAATAAGGCTTTTTTGGCATTTAAGAACTTATGGATTGAGTTGGATGATAAAAAAATAATTTCAAAATATATTTTTAAAAGAAACTTGAGTATACAAGCTCAAACTATAACACCATTAGATTTAACATCTAATGATAATTTTTCTTTTGATGAAACAAATGTTGCTGAGTTTAATAATACAAATAACATTGAACTGGAGGTTTTAAATTATATTAATGAAAGTTGAAATACATTACAAATGCTTAATTATTATCCTTCCATTAAGGTAATGTTTTTAAAATATAATACTGCAATATCTTTGTTCCAATTGAAGGGTTATTTATTGTCACAATGTTAAATATGCCGAAAAGGCAAAGGTCTAATGATATATTATAGAAAATTTGATTATCTTATAATAATGAATAAAGCTATACCCAAGAACTGCAAAAATATTTTAATTACTTTAAGATGGGGTGGTAGCTAATTTTAAGTTTAACATCTTTAATGTAAGCTTTAATAATTACTATCAATAATTGAGAATGTTTTCATATCAATTGAATTTCGAATTTTACTCATGAAAAATAAGCTAATCGGTTTACCGAAAATTGTTTAAATAGGTAAAATTTCCAGTGAAGAGAAAAAATTAGTCAGTAATAAGTTTAGGACTATCCAGCCACGAACACCACACAACGAAGGTTTTTTTTGTTCCTGAAAAACTAACACTCTACGAAGTGATAGACGATTATATAGCGAAAAAGGTCTTTGATATTGATAAAGATATGAGAGAAAGGATCTATGACGCAGAAATAGGAACCTGCTCTCTAAGTTTTAGGAAATAGAAAAGTAATTGTTGACCAGAATTAACATAGGGCATTATGGATTGATTGCTATATGATAGTCTAACACTCACGGAAAAAACTCTGCCAACAAACATAATTACAAACCTCGCCCCACTTTCGACTGGTTACTCCATAAATGAAATAATAAGTGGTCAAAGCTGGATAATATCACAGTAGAATATCCAAAAATTGCACCTACAACATTATCTCGCTACCTATTTGCCCTCTTTCAATAAAATATGGGAGAGCGGAACTCTGCAGTGGGATGGAACAAATCCTACCTAAGTAACTACCCCCCAAAAAAGATCACAGAAATTAAAGGGTTACTGAGCTATAACCTTCAAATCCCGTAGCATGAAATTTTTTTTTATGGTACAATCAAAAAAAAACCACAAATATATCATCTACACCTCATTTTTTTCCCCCAAAAAATACATATGTTTATACAGGCCAAATAAAAAAAAATATACTGGAGCCAAAATTAGCTCAGAAAAATAATCATGCAGAAAAGCAAATACAAACACCCTTCTACTTCACATTTGTAGATTATAGCAGAGTTATTGATTAAGTTAGCAATGCAGCTTCGTTGTCAGAAGATGGAAGACCACAACATCTACCAGATCTAGAAAACCACTAATACATGTTTGGATACTTCGAAATCAATGACGAAGAATATCCCCTACTTCCAGGGTAAAGATAGAAGTAAAACAAGGCTAAACTCTAGCCACTCCTAATTAAAATCATAAATAAAAACAAAAGAGTAACACTGGGAACGACCGATGTATTATATGTAGGCTCAAATGAGACGTAATGTTTTGAAAAAGAAAAAAAAGTTAAAGACCTTAAGTCATAGTTAACTAGCAATAAAAAAAGAGTTTTTCTCCTTATTTTTCCCAAAAACATGTAATCACTTCAAAAAATAGTTAGATAACGAGGTAAATGTAGTCGCCAAAGGTACTTAGCGGTCACATTTAATAATAAAAGTAGTTGCAAAGAAAAAGAAGAATTAGAATACAAAAGGCGAGTGGACTTTTAAACGTATAAAAGTATGGAAGATAAGAGAGAAGTCTGTATTTTCTAAACTGAGGACATATTAGTCTATGTAGTGGACGGACATGTAAGAGAGACCAAAAACTGGGAAATGAAAAAAAAAATAGAAATAGATGACTACAAAAAATAAATGCCTCATAAACAAAAGAAGATATCTTCTACCCCAGAAACATTTCGAACTCAAATCTATAGGAAAAGACAAAACATAGCCAAAATTAAGTATAATATTGAAAAGAGTTAATTCTAGCCCACATAAGAAACACACATCACAAACTATTACTCAACAATGCCATGAACAAAGCTTAACTCATATAATGGGAAAGTATAGGAAATACAACAACACCTAAGACATTGTATATGTATGTATATAATAAAAAGCATGGGACGGACCGATTTAAATTAGTACATTAAATCAATGATAAGATAAATAAAAGCTAATGTCAGTGAAGAAAGTAATTCACAGAAAAGGTGAAAGACAAAGTCAGGAAGTAAATTGAGAAATAAAGAGATTAAATAACCTGAATCCAAAAAAAAAAATTTATGAGAGATTTAGGTAGTTCGATTTAATTTTTGTAATTTCTTTATAGATTTTTTATTTTTATTTAGCCTTAGAAACTGTTTCAAATTTAAGTATAAATACATTATGTCCTTCAAAGCTCTGTAGAACCATAATGTCTTGTATTTGCAATATGTTTTCCCAGTAATTGTTACTATGCAGGCGCGTACGCAGGAATTTGGTGGGGGGGGGGGGATAATAAAATTTTTTAAGAAATATAATTGTTATTTAAAAATATTAATCATAAATTTATTAGGACTAATAACTTTTATTATACACAATTTTAAATTAATATGAATTACAAAAAAATTATATATATAAACCAGCATTGAAAAACTATAAAATAAATGTGAATTATAAAATCTAAAGTGAATATAACCACGATATGAATCACTTATGACCCAAAATTGAAATTAGAATTTTTTGAGTTTTTAAAATTTATATATAAAGTATAAAAAATTTAAATGTTGGAAATATAAATTAATACACAAAAAGTTTCTTAGGAATAATTGTATATTATTTTTCAATTATCTATCCTTGCTTGGCGTTAAATGCCTATGAATATTCAAAAGATCCAAATCATTCAATCTACTTTCAGAAGTTGCATTTCATAGGTATGTTTTTCAGAGACTTGCAGGCCCGGCCCCAGGCCGGACCGTATTATTTTTTTAAACATACCTGGGCAGGCATGAAATTTTTTTAAATATACCCGGGCAGGCATGAAATTTAAAAAAAAAATACTCGGGCTGGGCCTAAAATTTTTTTTAAAAAAATATCCAGGCCGAAAAAATTTTTAAAAAAAAATTCGGGTCGTGCCCTGAAAATGATACTTCTGCAGGGCTCTGTTATTCTTCTTAAAAAAGAGAATATTTTCCCATTAGTTTATTAATGGGAAGAGTTTTTAATATATATATACCATTTTAATACATTGGGAATATAATCTAAAATGTGTTTGAATGCAAAGCATCCATTTTTAATACATTGGGAATATAATCTAAAATGTGTTTGAATGCAAAGCATCCATAGCATTTTTGGGACTCTATCAAATCAACCATAATTAATCTTTTAATAGTTATTCAGCTAATAAGGCATCATAAGATATTTTAACATCTTCGTGATATAATCTAACAAATATTTTTTTTCCCATCACCATCTGAAAAAGATTGGAAAAGCTTTTGTGGAAGTAATCTAAGAGAGGGGGCATTTGTTTTAATATACTCTTCTTCGTGTATTAGACGATGAGCTTGCTTGCTGCAAGTCGAGGGGGACAAATTTTAAATAGGTATAGCTCTGTTTTTAACTCAACAATAACATAAAATATGTTCTTCATCAACATTAGCTCTAATTTTCTTGAGTTCTAATAAAATGCTCTCCTCTATTCTCACCTTCTTAATCAAGTCAATGTCATGTTTTTAAAAAGTATTACATGTTGTATAATTAAACAATACATTCTAATGTGATATTATTTGCTTCTGAGGAAATATTTCTTTCAAACCATTGTAATATTTCAGTAATAGCATTAATAATCGACTCTTCTAACTTCATAAAAGCTGTTATGCTTGATGGCGGAATGATCTCGTTATATAAGCTTGCAATGTCTTCCTTCCTTGTTGGACAAGGAGTTTCAGAGATAATTATTATTTGACTAGAAATTTAGATAAATAATAGGCCACTAAATTTGAAAATAATAGGTAAATTACACCAAGGAAAACTTGAAATCGAAATTAATTGATAAAATAACTTAGTAGGTAAAATATCATATGAGATAGGAATAAATATTAACAAATTTAAATTAATATTTAAAGTAAATATAATCCGGCATCTGCATTTTTTGGCTTGGGAAGGGGGGGGGGGGAAGGGGATTTGTCCCCCTGCCCCCCCCCGCTGCGTACGCGCCTGTTACTTTGGTTTCTCAAAATATGGGCAAAGAAAGTAAGGCCCTTCTTTTTTAAAGACACGTGAACTTGGGTATGGTTAGAGACATCTTCCAAAGGTTTTCATTCGAGATAATATTAGGGTAGAAGAAGCCATTTATTATTCTTAGACATTTATTTAGGAACGTTTGTAATTTCCTCGGTCTTGGTAATCTCCCACGTATCACCGCCATAAAAGAGAATCGGAATGATAGTTGAGTTGAAAATACGGAGTCTAGTAGAAACGGACTCCCTAGCTTTCCACAGTTAGAAAAATTTATAAAAAGCATTTTGTATACCGATTTTTAGTTCCTCTTTACCTATACCTTTATTGTCAATGGTTACACCTAGATATTTAAATGACTTCACCACCTTGAGAAACTTCTCCCAACCACAATATTATTCAGAAGGGGCGCCTGAGACGAGGGCATTATCACTGTTTTATCAAAGTTTATATCCAAGCCAACCTTAAGACTAAAGGAATTCAGTATAAAGATCAAATTTTGGGTTTCTTCCAAACTTTTTGTTATCAATACTATGTCATGAGCATAAAATATAACCCTATTTTCAAGAAGCACGACTGATTGGACATTGGACTTTAATTCAAAAGATTCGCAGTACCCAGCGTCTCTACTATGATTTTATTCATTATTATATTAAACAATAGCGAAGAAAGATCACACCCTTATTTTACCCCTCTTTTTGTCCTAAAAGATGGAGAAACACTAATAACATATTATCTTGTTACAAATCAAATATTTTTATAGCAAATAATATTTATTAATTTTAAAAAATAAAATATATTTAATATTATTTTTCTTCTAATTAGAATTCATAAATAATATATTATTTTTAATAAAAAATTAATAAGCCACCATACTTCGGAATTTTATATCAGCTGCGACGTGTTTACAATGTACCAGCGATGGCGTATTGGCATAGCAGCGCACTGGTCTATTTATATCATTGAGTTTAATAAAAGCATATATGAAAGCTTTTATAGTGATAATAGGAATAAAAAGATATGTTGAGAAATGATATTGCACTAAAACTATGCGAGTCTGCCAAAATCTGAATTATTCAAGCTTAAAGTTGTAAAACTAATTGAAACAGAGAATGGGACTATTGAAATTCGAGTCAGCCTAGCGGACCGACCAATCAGCTCATGAGACCTATTGGTCGGCTCTGATCTATGGCTCAATGGGTTGGCTTAGGTTTAAGGTCGATTTTTTTTCGGCTAAAATCTTGTTTGGTTTTCGACCAAGTCGAACCCGACTCAGCAATTTAACAACACTACCGGCCATCCTTCAAAGTTTGCTACTGCACGTAGACTTTTTTGGATTGAATAAAAGAGGTGGGGAGAGATGTAATCATTTATAATCATTTAGCTCTATAACACGTTGGGATTTATAAAGATGTTATCAAAATATTAGAGAAAAGTTCTAAAAATAATTCGTACCTTATGTATTTATATAATGATGTGAATATGCTTGCTTATATGTAATGTGATTGGCATATTATTTTATTAACAAGTTACTAATAAAATCTTGTCTTCAAAAATTAAAGTCTAAAAATTATAAATATTTTTAGCATATTTATTAAATTACCAATTATAATAAATATTATTATTTTGGGATGTTTTTTATCTAGTTTATATAATAATATAAAATTTTAAACATATTATTAAGTAAAATTACATCAAATTTCAATCATAATTATATTGCAAAGAAAAGCATTAATAACTGGAAGAGAGATTTAAGCAATTTATATATTGCGTCATACATCCTAATATTAAACAAAGAAAATTATAATTTGACATGATTTACATAAATAAAATATTTCGGCTTAGCGTGTAATTAAATATTGTGATTGAAAACAGAAATACTAGTAAACTTGAATTTGCATTATATATACATCAACTTCAAAAATAATTTATCAATTTAAATTATTAAAATATCTCTTTGAAACAAAAAATAATATGATGATTATATATTTAAATTAATGTAAATCTATTTTTCGCAAACCTGACTGACAATATTTTATTTAAAAAATTAAAATTATATAAAATATAATTAGAAAATAAATCTAAATTGTAAAAATATTCTTACTGAAGAGAATTTACAAATTTTCATACAAGGTAAGTTAATATATATTTTAATTTCTTTCATTTATTTAGCAATTTATATTTTATTATTAAATTTATTTTATATAATAATTTTTTAATATATAAATTATAATACTATATAATTTATACTATATACTAATTTATAATTAAAAATATTAAGCTAGAGAAAAATAAGATCTATGAATTAACTTATTTTCTTTAAGAAGGTAAGATAACACATATTATAATTTGTTTCATCATATAAAATTTTTTTGTAAGAAACATGTAATAAGCTGTTTTTTATAGAAAATTAAAAATTTAAACAATAAATTTGAAATTTTATAAAATTTTCAAAACTTCTATTAGGCTTTCTTAAATTTTAGAACAGGCTTTGGATGAGCTTAAAGAATTTTTTTCAATTTACAATATTGTAAATTGTTACCTACTTATTTCATTATATATAATTCAATTATTAATCTAATTGAACTGATGATTAGCCTCATATATTATTTAAGTAATGCAAAATAGTTTATTTTTTTAACTTAAGCATCTATATCCTGGTTATAAAAAATAATACTGGCTGCAATATAAATACAATTAGGAAATATCTCAATCTAAAAATAACATTAACACTTTCTCATTATAAATGTTATATATATTCAACAATCATTCAGATAATTTATTCTAAAAATAGAAAAGAATCAAATATAAAAAAGTTTTTTATAAAAAACTTTTTCTTTCCCTTATTTTATGATATTCAATTAAAGTGAAAGGAAGAATTAGATGAATATTTTTTTTCAGGCTGTAGGCTGGGCGAATAATTTATTAATAATTTTAGGACTTGATCCACATGCTGAGGCTGGCCTATAAGCTTTCAAATGCACATCAATTAGTTAACAATGGTTTTTGGCATTAAGTTTTTTGGTTTCTCTTGTTCTAGGATTAGTGAAACATAGCTCCTTAAAATTTATATGAATATTAAAAAATTTATACAAATAAAATAAACACATTAATCATAATAATTTTTTAAAATTGAAATTTAATATTAATTAATGAGTAATAAAAAATTATTTTTATCTATATAACATAGTTTGATGCTTAGTTTATTAACTGACTTTAAGCCAAAAGCTATCATCTCCCCAGATTTTTCTTTGGAAAATATAGCCCAATTTTGAAGAAAAGGAGAAATAAATTAACTCACACCTGAATTAAGTTTTCTTTTGGTAAGCATATGGAGACTGAACTGAATTAGCCAATTTTTTTGGTCATTGATCAACCAAATTAAACCATTTCTAATTTGGGAACAGACCAAGATTTTTTGCCCAACATAGATAGTTGACTTATTTATCAATTCTCTTCTCTCTCTTCTCTTCTCTTCTTCTCTTCTCTTCTCTTCTCTCTTCTTCTTCTCTTCTCTTCTCTTCTCTTCTCTTCTCTTCTCTTCTCTTCTCTCTCTTCTCTTCTCTTCTCTTCTCTTCTCTTCTCTTCTCTCTTCTCTTCTTCTCTTCTCTTCTCTTCTTCTCTTCTTCTTCTCTCTCTTCTCTTCTTCTTCTTCTCTTCTCTTCTCTTTCTTCTTCTTCTCTTCTTCTCTTCTTCTTCTTCTCTTCTTCTTCTTCTTCTTCTTCTCTTCTCTTCTTCTCTTCTTCTTCTCTTCTCTTCTTCTTTCTTCTCTTCTCTTCTCTTCTTCTCTTCTCTTCCTTAATCTTTTTCTCCAATAATCTCACCTATGCAATTTTATCATAATATATAATTATTTTTTCTAAAACATAATTTTTTTTAATGCCAGATTTTCCGATAAATAAATTATCAAGATCTAAAACATTTAAAATATTTTTTATTTGTATCCAGGATTAAGTTTATTTTTTTTTTAAAAAAAACTTGTTTGACGTCATAAAATTTCCCTCCTTTCTTTTTTTTCTGACAAAATATTTTTTTTCAATAACATTAATAAAATAATTACCGTTTATTATTGTGATTTGCGATTGATGAAAAAAAAGAAATTTTTATGTTAGGTTCTGTTCAAAATCTTTTTCATTAAAGTTTCGAAAGTTTGTGAATTTAATATTTTTTGATGTTTTGTAACACAACTTTAAATAACATTTTATCATTTTATTCATAACATCATAATTAAATTATTCAAAATAAAAAAAAATGTAATCTAATCTTAATTTGGGAATAAATTTTTTTTGCATAATTTTTGTCAGTCAAAATAGAATAAAAAATTTGTATCCCTGATAAAGTTTTTTGGTCGCTTAAGTTTTTCTTAAAAGTATAGTAGATCAAATTTCAAAGAAACTAATAAAAATTAAAACGTCTCAATACTAACTGATTTTCGCCAGCGCGGCCTATAGATCGAACCGCATCGGCATTTAGCCAATACTAATAATAAGGAGTGCCGGTTTTTTGAATTTCGTTTAGAAAGTTCTTCGCATGATTTTTTATACAAGGCTTCTATAACGAAAAATAAATGTAAATTTATTTCAACTTTGTAAGGAAAACTAAAAAAAACATGAACAAGAGAGAACGTTATTTTAATTAAAAATATAATTTTGTTTTATTCTTTTGAATTAATTATTTTATAATAAATTTCATCGCCATTTAATTTAAAAAAAGGATCAAAAATGTGAATGCCCTTACTCAGCATACCAGCCAATCAAAAATAAATTGGCCTTCGGATAAATGTCATATAAAACGGATCTCACCGAAAAAGATATAATGGAGATACAAGACGAGCTCAACGAGTCATTCCGGAGCAACGTTTTAAGTTCCATAAGGCAAATCGAGTCCCAGAACCAAAAAGCCACGATGGACAAGGTCAAAAAGTCGATGGAAAAAAATTTGGGACGTCCACTGGACCGGAACGATTACAAGCAACGGCTGGATAACTTGTGCCAAAATGGTATCATCTTTAAATTATCTACCAATCGAGGTCAACCATATTTTTCCTGCTATGATAATTCGAACCCCTCAAAAACCGCCAAAGCGGGTTCGCTCGCCGCACGGAAATCTCTCGAAGACAAAGGGGGAAATACCAAGAAAATTGGCGTGGGCGATTACATATATTATGACGAACGCAAAAGTGAACGTCCACCCCCTGCTCGACGACTAAGAAGTTCAGTTGCTCACGAAGCTATCGAAATATCTCACGAGAAGGAACAAAAATCTAACGCCAAACCATCCTCACCTCTCCCTTATCCCAAGTTAAAAATTGTTAAAAAAGGTGTCGCCACAGCTGACCAAACTCTTCCGCTTGACGCGTCAAACTCATCACCCCCATTTTCTTCGATTCTCGAATACCGGGATGGCCGATCTATGATAGAAGACGAAGACGAATTAGAGTTGCCCCAAAGATCGTCTTGCTTTAATTCGTTGATTAAGGAAATAAGTGGAGGAACACTGCGCGACAAACTTAACAGATCTACAGCCTCACTTTCTTCCTCTCCTCCATCCTGTTATCAAGATGACGATGATGAAGAATGCGACCAAAGAAATGTTCTGGAAGAACAAAATGATAATACGGCACTTCGCACCGATCCCGTTTCTCGCGAATTTTTACTCGAAAATGACACGGTTTCAAGAGACATTTCGCTCAAGGCGTTTTTTCAATTGTCTCATCTTCATATCGACCGATCTCGTATGATCAAATTTTTTGATGATTTGAGAATTCTCGTTTTAGGCATGAACAAAAACAGGAAACAAAAATGGAAGAAGGAGGAAATCAAAAATTTAGTTAGAACAGTGTATATCCCCTTTTTATTTGAGATAGGCGAATGTCTTGATTTTTTGATAATCATGGGCGATAAAAAGGTCACTCTGGAATCCTTGCTTTCCGTCGATTTGAAATGCGGCTTAACGTTCAAAGAATTAGAAAAAATGCTAATCAATATCTTAGCGGGGATCAACATGATCAATATCTTGATCAAAAATGAAGAAATTAGCGAAGAATTTAAATCCCCACCCACTTCTCACAAATCCACTGAATCCGACCATTGTGGGTCGAATGCTGAAGACGCCTCTTTTTCATCTCCCTCGTCTTGCTTATCCAAATATTCCCTTTTTTCGAAGAGCCCCCTTAAAACACCCTCATCATCGATCCTGTTCGCTCAAAACATCGCGTCACAATCTACCGCCTCATCTTCGGAATCGATCCAAAACCAAAATACGGTCGACCCCACACACGAGCCACCCTCATCCCCCTTCATCAGGTGCTTATCGAAAAAGGAGAAATACAACGCTGGCAAAATATTGAAAAAATTCTTAAAACGCGCTGTTTCCTCTGGCAAATTGGTTAAAACTACTGATAAGCTCTATAGATTTTATGTCGACGAGCCTTCAACCCAAAATCATAGTATGTCTGCGGCGAACCCATTCGTGCCTCTTCATCAGCCCGACAATTATAGCTCTCAAGCCTCAAATACATTTTTCCCAACTAGTCACCCCGAAACGAGCTTAAACGCCAACATAATTTTCAAACCCGCTACGCTTAAAACCAGCACCGCTACTCCTAACCCATTCACCCTGAACCTCAATTTGCCGGCTCACATAAACAACAACAACAACAATCTATTCTCATTATCTCAACCCCAAAACTCATCTCACATCACAAAATTGTCTTCAGTCTTTCAAACTTGCTCGGTCCCGCAGATTTTACCCAACGTAAGTTTATTTCTTTCAATTATAATCATTTTAAAAATAATCATGAGGTTTTTTTAATTTTCATAAATTTTTTAATTTAATTATTATTATTTTATTCGATTGAATAAATTATTGAGATAAATCATTTTAAAATTAAGGGCAGTTCAACTGTTAGCGTAATTTTTTAAACTCTCATTACTAAAATTTCTCGATCATTTTTCCACCTTTGAATTCGTTCTTTTTCCCGTTCCTGCAAAAAATATGATCCTTTCCCATTCCATTCTATTTTTCGAAATTTAGGAGAACGCGTTCCTAAAAAAAATCTAATTTTATATTCACCTTTCCCCTCATTCAAAAGCGTCTTTCAAAAACGATAGCAATATCAATTGAAATTTAAAACTTTTATTAATATTAATTTAAAAAAAAATTAAACCTTTAAAATTATTATCAAATATGGATTTAAAAATCTTCTTTATATAATCATATTTCTTAAAATCACACAATAAAACACTAAATAACGAGCAATAAATATTGTTACATGAATCAAACTGGAATTAAAAAATAAAAAACGAATATTTATAAATATATGTTAAAAAAGGTTAAATTTTTAATATTGTTTTTCGAAACGTTACAGAACTGTTTCGGGAATCTTCTTGGAATCACCATTCCCGTTTTTTTCAAGTTCCATAATTTTACCCGAACGTGGCCGAATGTTCCGTTCCACGTCATGATATAAATAAAATAGTAATATTTTAATCTAACCTAGGTCTATTCAAAAACTAATTCGAATCGAATAGTACATTATTCATATTCGATTCGTTACGAATTATAAAATCTACTATTTGTATTCGATTCGAATTATTCAAATAATTGAAATGAATTTTTTAAATAAAAATATATCATATTCAAATATATTGACAAATTTTTTTTATTGCAAATTTAATCTAAAACAGAAAAAATGATTATAATAATATAATAAAAAATATGTAATCGAGTTATAAACAAAACTAAAATGTATATCATTAATTTAATTCATAATTCTAAGCCAAAATTTAAGGCAAAGAGTTTTTCTTATATTTTCTTCCTTATATGACATGCGATTTTTTTTGACAACAAATTAGTTCCAACTAAGAAAAGCCTTTTACAAGCAATTGATGTTACTTGTATAGATAGGTAATCCCTATGTGTGAATGAAACCTATTATAATGATTAATAAGAAGGGATGTTGTTTTGCCTTTACATTTTATAATGCTCTTGTGATTTGATATTGACCCCATATATTCGCTCTTGTGAGGAAATTTTTCAAATTCAACATCAAGCATAACTATTTCATTAAAAGCATTCTCTTCTAACATAATTAGGCTAGCTAACAAAATTTATTGTAGAGATGTATTATATTTTTATATACCTTTGGTTTGTGTAATTTTTAATATAATTTATTATTAGTCAAAAAATAAACTTCTCGTAAGTTCGAAAAATATGGCAAATAAAAATTTAAATATTGCTTTAATTTTCACTTCAGAGATTTTTTAAATTTGTGCTAGTCTCTTTAAAACACATTACCTGTCAGATTGGATGGTCATCAAATAAAAATGACAAATGTTAGATTTATTAAAAGCAATTTATTAAATATTCCGAATAATTCGTTTTATTCGAATCGAATCAATAATTATTCGTATTCGGATAAAACGAATAATTTATTATTCGTATTCGGATAAAACGAATAATTTATTATTCGTATTCGTGAATTTTTTTTGAATAGGCCTAATCTAACCATATCATTAATCTAATTATGAATATTCATTCTTTTAAACAAACCGTATTTTTCATATTTATTATTAATAATAAAATATGCTATTTATATCAGAGATTTTTAGGGGCCGGTACTAATAATAAATTTTATTATTGTAAACAAAACCATTGCTTAAATACGTTTAAATATGGTTTATAATTAAATTTTTGGATATATAGGCAGGGCTTGGGAAATTTTTTCAATATAAAATATGGGCCGGGCCTGAGGCCTAAAAATCTTTTTTACTGCTGGTCTGGACCGGGCTATAAAAAATTAAGGTCCACGAAGGTCTGATTCTTTTTCGATTGGTATAATTACTATAGTAATATTTAATTCTTTAACAAAAATCGAATACGAATCGTTCAAGACAATCTTAACCTAATCCGGCCCAGCCCGAATAAATATCCGAGTTCTCTCGATTTCGGACACGTCAGTGATGGCTCTTGTACCCACTCCATTTCACCCGACTCATTATTTTTTAGTTATCGTTTTTTGATTCCTTTTTTTAAAAAATAATAATTATTATGTGTACTATATATAGATAAAATGCCATTAAAAAGTTGTATCGATAATGATTTCTGTACTTTATTACATTATCGAAAGGGGGGGGGTTGTAGAGAACATTATTTTCACAATATCCACTTAATTAGAGGGTTATTGAATTTATTTTATTGTGTAATTTTTTTTTTGTAAATTCAATGTAACCTAACTAACGCGTCGATATATAATTTGCGTTTCCCGCATTTTTTTTCCATTTTATTTTTTTTACTACCAACAACCAAGCCACTATTGCATGATAATGATACTCCATTATTTTTTTTCCGAATATAATACGGGCTTGCCTGATTTGGGCGATTCTCTGTTAATATAATATTAATGTTGTATCAATTGAAGAGTATATAATTAATGAGCACCTGTCTAATTTGAGCACAAAAAATTATTATTTCCGATTCACGGGGCGAGTTATCTAAATTAGAACAAGCTCTTTGGCCGCCGTAGCCATATATACAATAAAAATTATTTACAAAAGTGACCAAATATTGACCATCAGTCTAATATTGTGTTTTGTTAAACGACTCGATTTAGACAATTTTTTTAGCCAAAATATAGGGTAAAGCTTCGATTTCGTTAATAGATGTCCAAACTTATCTGTCAGCTCTGAGTAAAATCTCCAGCTTAATATTTTTGGTCAAAATAATGGGTTGGCCATTTTTAGAAATCGTTAACCCAATATTTTAGCCAAAATATATTACACAGGTCTGGAAACTTTGCTCATAGGTGGCAGAAAGGTTTGGACATCCATCGACGAAATTTCAAGGCTTGCATAATACTATTTTTTGGCTAAAAATATTAATTTAAAATCATCGGTGAAATCGAGCTAGTTTAACGACACTATTTCCGATCCACAGGAAGATATAGATAACCAAATTAGACAAGTTATTTTTGCCGCGGTAGCTTAATATTTAATACAAATTATTTTTACGATCCAACTCCCCACCAATACAAACCAAAAAAAAACAATAACCGTTATTTTTTTAATATTTTTTTTTGAGTTCATCAAAATTTATTCTTTTTTGATGCGAAATTTTAAACTTTTTATTTTTTTATCAGAATAATATTTATTACATTACGAACCTGCCAACGGTTATTAATATATTTATAAAATAATAAATTAGATAGGTAGTACTAAATATTGAAGGTGTTTTTTTTCGCAATATTTTAACTTTTAAAAATTATAAATTAAATTATTATATATTATGTAAAAATGGTTTTGATTTGATTATTGAATTATGATTAATACAAAATAATTAACACGAAAAATTAAAAACATCTGTCATTGAATTCTTACCTTTATTATAATGTTTTACCAATTATTGAATTAAGAATTTTTTTTAGTAATTTATACGTTAAATATTATGGGTGTCTGCTAAATTAATTGGCTTTTTTTTTAAAAAAAATATAAATATAACAATCGATTTATTATTTCAAAAAATTTTTTCGAAAAGATGGTAATTTTTTTTTAAAAATGTTAAAATATTGTTTTTAAAAGACATTCGGCTACCTCTAATGCCATATGTTGAAGACATTTTATCATCATAACATTTAAACGAGAGTTCTTTTTTTTAGATATCACTTAACTTTCATCTAAAATTTTTGTGGTCGAAATGTGGAAACGAAATTTATTCAAAAATTTGTTAGATATTTTTATAGTGGTCATAAATGCAAAATACCTCCTCAGATCAGTTAGAAATATTCCCAAAAAGTAGTTGTAAAAAATTCTTTTGTAAGGCTGTGTCCAAAATATGAAAAAAAATTTGATTTCACCAACTTTTGAAACAATTAAAAAAAAAGAAATAAAAATAAAAACCTGTTCAAAATATACTAGAAAATTTCAAAAATTTAACATACGATTTAATTAAATTTTAAAACTTTTCGAATTTTTTAAAAAAGATTTTGGACAATATGTCAATGGCATAATAATACTTGCCTTGAATGACAATTTATTAACTAAAATGCATTTTTTAAGCGTCGCGGAATTCAAATCAGCTGGCGACACCCCATTCTAGTTTCCATATAACATTTTTTATTTACTCAGGGGTCAGCTACGTCGACTATATGACATTAATGTGCATTAAAATAATTATAAATAATACAATTAGTCGACACGCAAACCACAAAATGCTACAGCTGACTCCTATGTATACACACTTTTAATGAATGAATTGTCAATATATCGTTGGTCTAGGTAGTATCATGACATTAATATGCATTCATATAATTATAAATGAAGTCGACATGCAAACCACAAAATGTCGCCACAGCTGACTCCTATGTATGCACACCTTTATTGAATAAATCTCCAATCTAGTATTACATCTTAATGACCTATAATACCCAAGTAGACTGGCTATTCATTCATTAAAATGCATTTTGAAGCGTTATTGAATACGAATCAGCTGGTGACATCTTTTAGTTCTCCTATATATTTATACGAGAAATCAAGAATGACATGCCGCCAGCTGATTTATATTGATAAATATTTAAATGAATGGAAGTTATAATCTATTAAGATTCAATCCCTCCTAAATTATTGTTTTCTTTTTTCTTCACTTAAAAAAAATAAATGGGGGCATTTTAAATTTCTAATTACCGCAAATCATGATGTATTACATTTTTCATTTTATAATTCAAATTACATATGTATTTAATCACAATATCTAAAGCAGAG